TCAAGTTACGTATGGTTTGATGAGCACGCTCGACCATAGAGTTGGCTTGAGGTTACGCGTGTGATGAACTTGCGACGAAGTCCATATCATCCCGGAGTGTCTTTTCGACCCCTGCGCGGAACTCACGTCCTCTATCCATGTAACCTCAGCAGCCATGGATACCGAGAAAGCCACGTTTGTTCTAGGACGATGGCTACTTCGTCTGCTGCCTTGGAGCAGATCTCTGCAATCTCGAACCATCCGGTTACGGGATCAATCATTGTCAAGCAATGAAGTGTGCAGGAATTCTTTTTCCTGGGAATCGCTGTTCAAAACATCAAGTGCAAGACGACCTCGTGAATGGATCCTGGGATGGAGTCCTCACGGCGGTTCGCTTGCAATGAATGCACGATTCATACCACCTTGCGTGCAACGCCCGCACAGCGTCGTGTTCAATCTGACGCGATTCCAACGTCCGGTTCGAAGCCAACTGGAAGTACATTAGGAACGTCGCCAACGACTAATCCAACAAAACAACGACAGGGAAAAGGCAACGCGTGTCCCTCATACAATGTCAACGATACTGTGATGTATCAACAGTATCAGCACCGCAAGTACGGTCAGCAAAGTACAAAAGGTCCTTACACTATAGACCGAGTCAATGACAATGGCACTGTACGGCTCCAAACTGCTACCGCCAACGGCGGCACAGTCTACCAGCTTGGAACATAAGGTATATAACCCATACAAGGCCTGATCCCCTTGTAGGATTGCCATCGTGCGACGCACAGTCTACATCCAAATCTCATGAGAGGTGCCCCGCACTTTAATCATATGTTCTCCTTGTCCGACTGCTGTCGCGCCTTCTGTGACCCTTTCAGGGGGCGAATGCAATACACGGCTCTTAGCTTATTCGCGACTCGATCCTAGATAGGGTTGAGTTCGACTCATGACGAGTCTCTCGTGAATAGTCATTGAGACAGGGTTCTCAATGACCGCGCTGTCATACTAGGTTGATGATGAAACATCGCTTAGATATTTAGCCAGCGTGGGAGTACTTCCACGCTACTAGATCCAGGCTAGACAAACCTTCCACGCGTTCCGTTTTAGGATCGTGGAGAGACGTAGGATTACTACCACAACCTACTCTATCACACTTTATAGTCTCCCGCGGGAAGCCAGATCTACGATCCTTGATGATGATCTCTCTCGTGATTAGTTTTCATAGCTTTCTAATCTCTCTCATAACTTTCATTCTCTCAAACTCAAAACACTCGAAAGATCTTTACACTAGCTTTTAGCGTAGTGCACCACGCTGTAATTCCCAGCAACCTCAAGGAAGACGAAGAATACCCCTTCCCGGAATGTTCCTCAAGTTCCAGGCTTTGTTGAAAAGAAGCTACCGGGTGTATGTACAACCGACGCAAGGACCACGCCGTCAACGCGTTAAACCAAAGACATGTGGCCTTTGTTCAAGCCCTCGCTGACAGCACATGATCGAGTGGGTATTCAAATGGTGGACCCCGCTTCTGTGATGGGGAAAAGCTCCTTATGTACGAGGCCACCAACGGTTACTGCTTATGACCAAAGAGGCTTTGTTATCATGTGCCCCAGAGGTGAAGTTGACGGACAAACTGGTGAACGTTTGTTGCCCCAGATCCCAACCCAGAAATGGCCTTGAAGTGGTTCAATGAAACCTTTAAACCGGCCTACATGCAATACGTGTACGACCCGGCAAAGAAGGATGAACCCTTCCTAGTTCTCGACGAACAGGACAAGTGGTACAAGGTCCATGACACCTGGAGTGAGCTGATCACCCACTCCGACATCATGACTCACCTTGTGACGATTCTTGGATCGATCAAGGCGATTACCGCACTGTATCCGAATTCCTCAAGGACGACAAGGGCCATGTGTACTCTATTTGGCCTCGTGGTCAACTCCCGGCTTCACGTCTTACGTCTGTTGTTTCACCGAAACAACCTTGGATGCATCGGACTTCGTTCGCATGCGGGCCATCACTGGTGCCCTTCGCAACATTATTACAAGCCACTACGCACGCACACCATCCCCCGCCCCCACCTCTACTCCACCAGTTCGCCTTCAAGCTGCCACACTGGCCCTCCCCAGGTTTTGCACTACCCCCCGGCGTGAACTTTGAGGCCTTCTTGGAACTCTTCTCGAAAAGCACAGCAGGAGAACGGTGGTAATGTCTCCTACAGTAGCTTCCGTATAAATCCCCCGTGCCCTCACTTTCAAATCCTCAATACTGGACCTCCCAATATTATTCGCAAACCATTCCAGTTCCAATGCAACCAAATACGTCATCTCCCGTTCCACCTGTTCCACGAACCACGTCGGCCAAAGTGTCACCTGCAATAGTCAGAATGATGACACTCCACATGGTATGAAGAAAGCTGCCGAACTTGCTAACGATCCTATTACCGAATACCCCAGTACCGACGAAGAGCGGGAAACAGAGGAAAAAGAGACACCAAGCTCCCAGCGGAAGCGAGCCAACCCTCCACTTAACACATACTATCACACAAAACTTTTACAACCTCACATAAACCACGTTGACTTCAAAATTGCAAAACCTAAACCCTAAATATAAGCCACATGATTCATTCGATTCTATTCACCATTATCCTGTATTAGTACACAAGTAAAACTAGTACTGGAAACGGAGACGACCCAGAGGGCATATGAATTGGAGACACTAACAACAAAACGAAGACGTCCTCATTCCTCATTCAAATTCTTCTTCTTCTTTTTGCAAGCAAACACTCATCAGCTCATTCGTTCACTCTCGCCTCCACGGCCTTGCAATAGAGACACTCTCTTCGAGCTAGCTAGCTAGTAGGCCGCATGCCCATCATTTAGCTGCCTGTTTGTGTGAGGTGTTTGGTTTTGGCGCCGCCAATCTTTAGTTATCGGGCATTCCATCCTTCTCTTCATTCACAAAAATAATAGAGAACCAGAATTTCACGTCATCAGCATCATCATGCCAGAACCCCACTTGGACTGCTCTGCCCTGTTGGACCATGTTTCGCGAGAAGAAGAAAAGCTGGGACGCAATCCCAATGATATCAGCATGGGTCACTTTGGGCATCCTCCTGCACCCAGATTAAGCATGTTTCGGTTTGCTGCTTCCGCTACTACATCTACAGAATGTGAAGCAGAAGTCCTCGTGGTGGCGTTGACCAAGCGATGCATCTCCGCTCAAGCCTTGACGCGACAATCTACTACTGCTGCGCCTACAACAACACCAGGTTCTGCCATGAAAACATCATTGTCCTCGTCGTCACTCAACAGTGTCAAGAGCGAAGGATCCTCCAGCAGTACTTCCAAACAGGGCCCTTTTTTGGTCGCCAAACTTTTGCCGCCGACTGTGGTGGACGAAGAGGACCAGGCCGTGGAAGAATCCATTACCAGCATGACCATGGTTGCCTTGGAGGATTTGTCTCTGATTACTGTGGCGGAGAATCATTCTTCCGTGGTCTTTGACGACGATCCAAAGAAGAAACGAGTCCAATTTGATGAACCCACTCCGGTCGGTGGAGGAGACACTACCAGCAGCAGCAATACGGAGCAAGCCACGGCCAAGATTAAAAACTTGCAATTGCGGGGATTCATTGCCGAAGAACGAGTCTATCTGCCAAGGGTGGCTGTCATTTTTGGAACCAATTTCAATCGAGTCTTATCGGTGGAAATGCGCTTTCATGCCGAAGCTAAAACGATTGTTCTCCCCTTATCGGATCATGTGGAACCACTTCCCCTGGACCCGCAGCATTTACTCAAGAAAATTCTAGAAGGAAAGGATCAAGTTCCCTTTGCTCCCGTGGGTGGCGTCAACCAGGTGGAAACATTTGTGATTACACCGCAACGGCCCATAATGGAAAGTATTACCGCCAATAGCAAAAAGCTACAACCGCATCGTCCCATGGCATATGTCTGGGTTTCCTATGGAGATGGAACTATCCTGAGAATTCATCATGCGGCCTTTTTCCGATCGGTGGTGGGTGATGAACTGCAACTGCTCAAAACTACAACAACAAGCAAACCGGATTCTAGCATTACCCTATCGCCAACCAAACCTACGTTGCAAGAGAGACTGAGCATGCAACAAATCCCACTACTGTTGCGATGTGAAACCAAGATACTCAACAAGGATATCGCTTCTTTTGCCATTGTGCCATTCCCCAAGTACCATCCATCACCTTTGGCACCCCTCACATCGTTCAAACCAGCCATGCATCAGGAAAAGGATGACACTGCTCCCAATGCTGGAGTGCTGTCGGATCAAGAAGACAAGGAAGAAGAAGAAGAACACGACGACATGCCGGAAGTTTGTGAAGCTGTCCTGTACGTCAAACCGACTGCAGCTACCACGGAGACCTTTCCCACTCTGTGCTTTTACACATCTGAAGACCAGTACTTGGGACGAGTCGCGGGGCATGCAGGCAGAGATGCGACCACGACGTCCTTGTCAGACACACCAATCTTGGGTGCCGTGGTGGGTGGAACCAAAGCTATGGTGGGTGGACTTGTGGGGGCCATTGCTTGGGGATTTGGTGCTGGCAGCAGTACGCCGGCACCAGCCCCCGAAGATGATGCGGATATGCAGGGAGACGAAAAGAAGTCAGTAGTTCCAACTGGGTTCTTTCCATCGTTGCGAAAGTCTTCTCTCATTGTGGGACTATACGCTGGATATGAATTTCATGACTCGCCTCGCCAGGTGGAATCCTTTGTCATTGATCCAGAGGGGAATCTGGGAGCCACCACAGATAGCTTCGGACGAGTCATGCTTGTTGAACTGTCCACAAAACAAGTGGTGCGCATGTGGAAGGGCTTTCGAGAAGCTTCCTGTTGCTGGCTGCAAGTTCCACGGTCAACCTCCGCCGATTCGTCCCAGCCCATGCGCAAGTCCTTGTTCTTGGTGATTCATTCTCGACAGCGACGCGTCGTGGAGGTATACCGTGTCCGCCATGGGCCTCGTGTCAAGTCATTCCAGGTGGGCCGAGACGCTCAGATTGTGTCCTGTAGGGAGTGGATTTCCGAAATCACAGGCGTTGGAGACTACTTGCTGAATTGCTACATTGTACACACCAATTCGCCAGGCGCCAATACCCCGCAGATTATTGAAAAGATCGTGGTGCAGGAGAACGAAGGATCCGTGGCAAGGGAAGAATCGTCCAAGTCGAATCAACCAAACCCTTCCTCTGCCACCAATCCAAAGGAAGCTGCATTGCGCCTGCAACGACTGCAGCAACTCTTGGCTAACACCAATGTGCCTTGTCAGTTGGCGGATGTGCACAATGCCTTGTTGCAAATCAAATCACTGAAAGACTTGGCAACTTGTTTGGATCGGTTGTCAGTGGCAACAGTGCTGGAATCCAAAATGGGTGTCACAGGCTCCGAGTTTCAGAAAGTTGCACTTGCTTACTGTCGGGAGAGCCTAAAAGAAGCTGTGAAAAATGCCCAGGGCGATCCCGCCTCCAATCCGCATGTGAAGCTGCTGGCTACCAAGATTGTATATCACACTCAGGTGATCAACGCCTTTGATATTCTGAGACGGTTTGAGCTTGGCGGTAGCGAAGAAGCAGATCAGCAAGTTGCTCCAAGGTCGCCTTGGACCGAAGAGGCCATGGGGTGGGTTTCAACGTACGATATGGTCAATGGAAAGAGGGAGGAACCCAACGACGCAATGTTGATAACGACCAAGGCCGAACCATTAACCTTTGCGACCTTCGCCAACGCTTGTGTGCCGCCCAAGACACCAGATTCTCCGCAAGCTCGAGACAACCGAAAAATTGAAGTGTATCTAAGCGACAGTTCCAAGACGAGACGCGACGTCCTTGTTCATATTTTCAAGCCCTTGCTCGGCGACATTTTTGCGTTTTCAGTTGTGAATTCCATCTTTGGTGCTCTTGGCATAATGGACGATGGTGAATACTTGCTAAAGGTGTTTGGTGAGTGGTACATGACTTTGAGTACCAAGGAAGCTGCCCAGAAGGGTTTCTACGCGTTGTACTCCCCCATGATGCGGTGGCTTCAAGAAATGGTGGGGAATCAACTGGATCGAAAGGATGCAGACCCCGACGAAATTGCATTGAAGTCATTGTACAATTTTTGTACCGAATCAGCCGACCTTGTGAAAGCATTCATGTTGGGTGCCCTTTGCCGAGAAGCCGTTTCCAAGGCTGCAATCAAGATGGAAGAGAAGACATACGGGAAGATACGATGTGCGGACAAAGGTAAGAAAGAATGACAGCCGTCTTTTCTTGTTCTAAGCAAGAAACGTCGGTCTGAACTGAACCGTGCCTTGCTTGTGCCTCTCTCTTCACAGTCAAGAGATGGGATGAACTATTGCGAAAGCTGCGCGTTTGTTTGTTGGTTTCACTCAGACTAAAGGGTGTCAGAATAGGGACATTCCCTATTACGGTGCAATATGTGGACAAGGGGGACATCTTTTCCGTGTATGAATGGCTAGCACACGACGAGCTAGCCATGAGCCACAAACACAAGGAAATCACTACGTTGGAGGAGGCCTGCAAAGTCAGTGGTATCTCCTTTGATCCATCGACCGAGCAGGGTGATGTGACATCGAGGTTTGAAATGTTGCAGAATGCTTGTCTCTCGGCAGCTCTCAGCGAAGAAGAGCGCACGGAATACCTGGTGGACTTTGACGACGACGACAAGCTGGGCGCACTCCTCCTCTTTTTGAAAAGTCACAATGAACCCAAACTGCTTGTGGCTCACCGTGCCCTATTGCTAGCATCCATCTGGAGTCAGAACCCCCACGACCTGTCGGTGCTGCAGAATGCGTTGGTGGCACTCCAGTCTCTGAGCATTCGAGACGACCTACAGTCCCTCGCTGCCGCAATCCGATTGGAAGTTTGGCAGACTCGCATTCGCCCAATCTACCGAGCGCTCTTGTTTGGATTCCACGATGTCCAGGAAGTCAGTGAACACGTCGTGGCGCCTCTGTTTCATCAACCTGGCTGGGTAAATGATTTCGGCGGACTGGCATTGGAAATCTTGACGTTGCTTTTACAGATTCCTTGGTCGGATTCCATGAATACCTTTCAACCAAAGCTCGACACAGACAAGGTCGAAGGGACGTGGCCACGGGTGAAACCCGACTTTATCTTGGAGCGACTGGTGCAGCGATCCCGACAAATCGACCGTTCGGCACTGGATGCACACCGAGTGGTGCTTTGCACTCTCCGAGTTTCGGACGACATTCAGGCCATGATCAAGTGCGTCCCCAGTTTCCACGACTGTTTCGAGTCGGTGTCTTTGTACCAACCAGTTCAAAATGCCACTGTGGATGTCGTCGAGAGTCAGAGGGTGTTTCTGGACTCTGCCATTATTTCGTACGCCCAAAAGTGCTCCCAACCGGTTCTGGAATCGGTTGGTCTTGGTGAAATTGAAACGTTGGGCGCCATTTGGAAGTTTGACATTAAAGCCATTCGGACGACCTTTATTTTGGCCATGTACGAGTTTGGCAAGGATCGTTTGATTGACGAGCAACTGACCAAGAGCGCGTCACTGGTGGACGTTCCACGGTTGGTGGATGAAGGTCTGGGCATTGTGTGTCGTCGGTTGAACGATTTGCTGCATTCGAAACGCCGCCAGACTCCAGCCTTGCGCGAAGTCATGTCCCTGTTGGACCCCGACGTGTGCAGTTGGGTCAAGGACCGCGCGGAAGAATCTAAATCCCTGGTGGTGTTTTCGAATCTGCAGGTTCCCGTGGGCAACACCCACCTGTTTGCCTTGCGATTGCTGAGTCTGAGCCGTGGAACAGATGATGTGGATAAGAGCATCCGAGTGAAGATCCATTCCTTGATTGTGTTGACGGGTCAGTTGGTCAAGTCGCTGGAGGGGTTGCCATGATGTATGTTGTGAATGAACATTGATTTGACGATTGCATTGAGTACGGTACTGTCCACCTCTCGTTTTGGATGCATTGTGGACACGATTATACCTGTACGTAGACAAAACAAGCTAAGGAGCGCAAGGGCATGAGCATTAGAAAACGCGGCGCCCACTCCTATATACTGTATTTTATGATAAATAGTAAAGACAGAATCAAAAAGTTATCCCTTCTATTGTGGTACCGTAGCTGCTAGAATATAGCGACATGACGAGGTACCAAGGTACAGCAGTTTCTACAAAATCCTCGGATTCTAGCTAGCCAGGCCTTGCATCAATCTAATGCCAGAGGTTTCTCTGTTGTCTTTCACAGCATGACCAATGCAGGCTTTGATGCACGGAGAAGACAAAACATTGGATAAGCATTGGCTTTCGAAGAAGCCAGCGAAGTGGGATTTACAATCTTAAAGCTGAGGTAGGCAGGTGAGTGGGTTTGGCGGGAGATCTTCTTGTGCACAAAAAAGACGCACCCACCCATTTTTCCAGCTCGAGTGGGAGCGTTGTCAATAGATAGTATAAGCAATAAGCAAGCGAGATCTTGACCATGGCCGAGTTGGACGTCTCCCGTTTCTTTACTCGCCTAGAGAAGCTGCATGCACACTTTACAAAGCATAGGTGAGTCTGATTTGGCATGAAAGAGACGGAAGGGAAGGACAGAGCTGCTATTGTTGTAGCTTTTTCTGGACAACAGAAAGATCTCACTCTGTTTCGCCTCTTGATCTCTGTCTATTACTCACTCACTGCATGGCATGGTGGTGGTTGCTTTCGTGTCGTGCTCTTGCTCGCATGGTAATGATCCAGACAAACCTCCATTTGGAACAATGCACACTGCTTATTGCTGCACCATGGTCCTTTGAATGACGATGAGCCGTATTTGAAATCGGTAGTGCTGCATCATTGGCTCTGCGGATACGAGTTGCCCGATACCATTTTCTTATTGCGACAAGATGGGCACCTGTTCATTGTAGCTGCCAAAAAGAAGTGTGACTTTTTGCGTCCCGCCGCCGATGCCATTCCCAAAGACAGCGCCATTAAAGAAATTCATCTCTTGCTGCGCAACAAGGAAGACAACAATGCCGAAAATTACGACACACTCTGGGAACAAGCGGGCATTCCAACGGAACCACCCGAAGGAGAAGACGCCAAGAAACACGCCGTTGGAATTCTTTTAAAGGAGAGAACTGCCAACAAGGAGAGTGGGGGATTGTTGGGTCCCTGGGAACAAAAACTAGATGAAGCGGTCGAAAAAAAGACGGTGGAATTGGTCGATTCGGCGCCTGGATTGGCCATGGTCATGTCTGCCAAAGATGATACCGAACAGGATCTCATGAAAAAGTCCAGTGTCCTCTCCAACAAAGTCATGAAACACGGGTACATTAAACGAATGGAAGAAGTGATTGACGAAGAAACGTCTGTCACGCATGAACAATTGGCAGCTCATGTCGAAGAAATCCTAGAAGACCCTTCCAAAATCAACCTCAAAGTGCCGGCCGATGATGTACAGTCGTGCTATTATCCCATTGTACAATCCGGTGGAAAATACGATATTCGAGTCTCGGCGCAATCCAATTCCGATGCGCTGTCTCATGATATCATCACGGTCTCGTTGGGGGCACGCTACAAAATGTACTGCAGCAATGTGGCCAGAACCTTTCTCGTCGATCCACCCAAAAAAGTATCGCAAACTTATGAACTCCTTTTGGAAGTACAGGCGGCATGTTTGGCCGCCATGAAACCAGGAAAGCCATTGAAATCCGTATACAAATCGGCCGTTTCCTATATCCAACAAAAGAGCGGATACGAACATTTGGTATCCAAACTGCCCAAGAATTTGGGATTTGCCATGGGGTTGGATTTTCGTGAAACGGCTCTGCTGCTCACGCCCAAAAATGCTCTGGCGTTCAAGCAGGGCATGGTCTTTTGTCTGGCCATTGGCTTTCACGATGTGGAACTGCCCGAAGCGGATCGGGCCAATACACCCGAAAAGAGTGCGGTATGTACAAAGCTTTTAAAAAAAGAAGAAGGAAATGCGACAATTACGATATGCATGATAATTGATTTTATGCGGTTTCTAATCTGGTTCCTTTCTGTGATTTTGTGTGGGTGGATGACAGGTCAAAAAACTCTCCAAATATTCTCTCCTCGTCTCAGATATGGTTGCCATTGGAAAAACACCCGAAGTTCTCACCAAAATGGGCAAGGCATTGACGGACATTGCATACAATATCAACGATGACGATGCAGGAGGCGACGATGACGATGACGACGATGATGCTCCATCAGCACCCGATGGTGATGCCGAATTGGCGCGTCAGATGGCATCCGAACCTGTCACCACTCGAGGTGGACGAAAATCGGCTCGTTTGGCTAAGACGGAGGTGGCGCAAAAGGATTTGCAGGAAGGTGCCGCCGAACGAGAAAGACGACAAATGAAATTGATGGTTCGACGAAATGAAGAACGCCTGCGAGAAATTGCGCGGGAAAAATCCAAGAGCAAGGGAAAAGGAGGAGACCACAATCAAGCGGAGGAACTTGTCGCCTACAAACGCACCAAGGACTACCCCGATTCCGTTCAGCCAAACCAAGTCAAGGTGGACATGGCCAGTCAATGTCTCATGCTTCCCATTGCCGGAAATCCAGTGCCCTTTCACATTAGTACAATCAAGAATGTGGTGTTGCCAGATCCGGACATTACCGACAATGCGACTCTTCTTCGTTTGAACTTTTACTCGGCGGGTATGGCCGTGGGTAAAGACGCTCCGGCCAACATGGCCAAACTGGTTCAGAAGTACGCGCCTTATGCGTCCTTTATCCGTGAGATGACATTTCGAAGTTTGGAGGGGCACAATCTTACTCTGGTACGTAAAGCCGCACTCGTGTACTGCTCTCTCTTTGTTCTTTTCATTGGGTGATGCATGCCATGCTAAATCAATCGTTTCTATTTATTACAGGCTTTCCGTCAAATCTCCGAGTTGCGAAAGCGTGCTCGCACGAAGGAATTGAAAGCATTGGAAGAGGCAAATCTTGTGGAACAGGAAAAGTTGGTGCGAATCAAGAATGAGCGCGTGTCTCGTCTTTCCGATCTGTCCATGCGACCCGTGTTTGGTGGACGGAAGACTCAGGGAAACCTGGAAGCACACACAAATGGATTACGCTTCATCTCCACTCGTGGTGAAGTTGTAGATATTATGTACCCCAACATCAAATATGCAATCTTCCAGCCATGTGAGAGCGAAATCATGGTGCTAATCCACTTCCATTTGAAGAATCCCATCATGGTGGGGAAGAAGAAACATCTCGACATTCAGTATTTCACAGAAGTGATCGATGCCAGTCAGACCGTCGACAATTCGCGTCGCAGCATGTATGACCCTGATGAGATGGACGACGAGCAGCGTGAACGGCAACTTCGCAAACGTTTGAATCAAGCTTTCAAGGATTTCTGCCGTAAGGTCGACGCTGTAGCCAAGCGACATGGGTATGAAGTCGAATTTGACATACCCTACAGAGATCTCGGTTTCACAGGCAACCCGCACAGAGAAATGGTGCCCATCATGCCTACTCTGAACTGCCTTGTGAACTTGACCGAGACACCGTTCTTTGTTGTCGATCTCGAAGACGTCGACCATGTCCATCTGGAGCGTGTCACCTACATGAGTAAGGCCTTCGATATAGTCCTCGTCAACAAGGACTTCAACAAGCAACCATGGCGCATCGACATGATCCCCAACGGGGATAAGGATTCCATCTGTGAGTGGCTGACCGACATGGAAATTACCTACACGGAGGGTCCGATGAACCTGAACTGGAAGCAGATTATGAACACAGTCAAGGAAGATGATCGCTTCTACGAGAACACTGAGGAAGACGAGGTGACAGAGAAGGAAGCTGGGTGGGAGTTCTTACGCCTCTACGGCAGAGAGGACAACGATGATGATGACGACGACGATGATGAAGATCCCGACTTTGGAGAAGCGCAAGGTGCCGAGGACGAGGACGATGAAGAAGTCGACTCGGAGGAAGAGATTGAGGAGGACGACTACGATTCAGATGAAGAATCCGACTTTGATGCAGATGAAGAGCTGGAAGAGCAGGGAATGGACTGGGATGAAATGGAAGCGGAAGCAGCCGCAGACGACCGTCGTAAACGAATTACCGGAGATGAAGGTGGTGGGGACCGGCGTGATAGTCGCAGGGGAGGGGGGAGAGCACCTTCAAGAGGCTCTCGCCCTGGCGGCGGTCGCCCTGGTGGCTCTCGTCCAGGAGGCGGTCGTCCTAACCATCGAGGAGGTCGCCCTCAAAGCCGCGGCCCGCCTCAGGTAAGTTTTTTATGCCATTTATTGCTGATCAATGCATGTGCGAACCTCACAACTTGCATCTTCTCAACCTTAGAAACGACGACGCCGGTAGACTAATGAGATATAATTCCTGCTGTTGTCCTCTGCCTTCTTCCTACATGTAGTCCTGTGTTGTATAGTGTGAGTCCTGTGTTGTCTAGTGTGGCCTATATATAGTCAGCCAGCCAGCTACATTGATTTGACTTGAGAAGCAATTGCAGGATCAAACCACACGAGTACAAACACGAGGGGTCAGGGTCACCCCCGGGATCAACTTGAATCTGTCCCTGTTGGTCGGGAGAGGCATCGGCGATGCGGTTCTTGAGTGAAGCAAGATCTTGTGGAAGCCAACCACCTCGAAATTTGCCGACCCCAAGAGCTGGAGCCTTCGCTATTTAATTGTTCTCTTGGCAGCCTAGTAGACAGTACAGTGTACCATCTGCTACCATCCACTGCTGCTTCTGCTCGGTGTCAACAGGATGGGTATAACTGTGGAGGGGCAAAGGAGCAACAAGCCTAATGGATTGGTATCAATCTTTTCAAAATATTCATTGAAAACTATGGAGGGAATAGAAGACCCTCACTAGCTTGTTGGAGATACGTCAGCTGTGCATGCGTGCTGGAACTGTAGGCCACACGGTGTACTACCGATAGCTACCAGGTACTAACTAAGATGATTATTGGTACGACTACGGAAGTGCGATTTGACATGGCAAGGGACACTACGAATGCACTCGGCCAGCTTCCATCTGACGAGCCGCATAAATTACTCAATTACTCATCATGCGTAGCTAGCAAGCATGCCTATAAGGTTACGACCATGAAAAAGCTGGTTCTTGAGCCGGCCCATTTAGATTTCCATCCATCTGTAGATTGGTTTGACCTCTTCTTGGAAAGCACACAATATTGAATTAGTCAAAAATGTCGGTTCCTTCGGCGCAAAAGGCATCCTTGGCTCCCAAAAACCCGGACAATGGATTGGGGTTGGTCTTGTAACTGACATACTTGTCCAATGCATCAATCTCCGCCATTTCCTCGGGAGTCAACGAAAAATCCATGACATTAATATTCTCCGCCATACGGTGAGCCTTGACACTCTTGGGCAAGACAACAATTCCACGTTGCAAAAGCCATCGTAACAAAACTTGCGCAGGGCTTTTACTGTGTGCCGTGGAAATCTTGCCAATGACTTCATCCTCTAGCGGATTGGATGTTTTCCACGTTTCCTTGTTGGTGGCGCCACCACCCAAGGGAGTGTGGGCCGTAACGCAAATGTTGCGGCTGAGGCAATAATTGACCAGAGATTCGCGCTTGTAATAGGCATGCACTTCAATTTGATTGCAGGCTGGTTGAATGCGAGCCTGGGTGGTCAAATCATGCATCAAGAGCATGGGATAATTGGAGACTCCAATGGAACGACACTTGCCAGCATCCACCAATTTTTCCATGGCACGCCAGGTATCAATCAAGGGCGTATCACCGAGTTCAGAAGCACCCCAATTGGGAGTGGCCAGTCCAGTGTGTTTCCAACAGAGTGGGAAATGGATGAGGTACAAGTCAAAGTAGTCCAATTGCAAGTTTTTCAAGGAATGATCGCAGGCTTGAGGGACAATCTCGACATCATGATCACTGTTCCAAAGTTTTCCAGTAATGAACAAGTCTTCACGCTTGACGAGTCCATCCTTGAAGGCCGTCTGCAAGGCTTCTCCAATTTCTTTTTCGTTGCCATAAACGTGGGCCAAATCCAAGTGACGGTATCCGGCTTTGATTGCTTCAATAACCGCCGGTCCAACTTCGCCAGGAGCACTGCGAAAAGTGCCGTAGGCGACGACGGGCATTTCATGGCCACTGCTCAATTTGTAGCTTGGAACTGTCTTGGACGACAAGTCAAACGAGGGGCCCGGCTTGGTGTAGGACATTGTCAAAGCAAAGGTTTTACCTGAAAAGAGGAAAAGCAGAAGGAGTTTCTTCAGAATGTTAGCTTTCGTTTTTATGGGTAGCATTGCTTTGTGCTGGTACGGCATCAGTATTCTCACTTGGAACTTCCTGTGATTGATTGATTGAGTTGTGATGACAACTCCTTGTCCGTGCGCTGTGCACTACCGGTACCAGTATCAGCTACTCCGATGATGCGAACAAGGTGACATCCGAAGCCTGTATGAGAGATCCAGGCAAAATAAGATCCAAACGGTGAGTCAGGCTGGTCGCACACATGCCTTCCAACAGCAAGAAAGAACGAAGGAACCCAGCCCAAAGGACACCACAGGACAGCATCCGGAAAGGCGTCGAGAATATTGTTGGAAGCCCCGCAACAGCCACAATAGTCATAGACAGCAATCAAACACACGAAGCCAGCAAACGAAGACAATCAATCGAACGAAGTAACTAACCATGGCGGCCAATAATAGTAAGAGTCTGATTGTGGATTACTCCAAGCATCGCGATGCCCGTGTGGATCGACAGAGTGTGTTGCGATCCAGTTCGCTGCACGTGCGGCGCACATGCCCTACAACTTTCGCGTTCCATCGGTGCTACCAGTAGAAACTACATTGGCTAATCAATGACACAGTAGGCAAAAAAGAATACGGAGGACCTACTAGCTAGCCACCGGTACCTACCGTACATCTTTCATTCTTTGCACCAAGCAATTCGTACCGACGACTATGGCCCGAAAACTTTGAGGGTACCAAAATGAAATTAACGTTCTAATGTATGAAATGTACTGCAACCTGGCTCATTTTAGCCAGACTGAGGATCCCTTCCAGTTTAATGATTCTGCTGCTGCCTTTGCTGCAGTAACTGCATCAGCTGTTTGTGGAAAGAGCGAAATGGGTTAGGGGAGATCCGGGCCACGGAAACGACAAATCACCGCCAACTTTACCTACCTGCATGAGGTTGTTTGCTGGTTGCTGTTGTTGTTGCTGCTGCTGCTGCTGTGGTTGGGCATTCTGTGGCTGCTGTTGTTGTTGCTGTAACTGCTGAAGTAGGGTATTCTGGTTGTTTTGCTGCATCAAGTTTGCCTGCTGTTGTTGCACATTTTGAGCGTTCGGCATGTTGGCAGCAGCGTTCTGGTTGTTTGGTGGCGGCACTAAGTTGGCCTGCGGATGCTGTACGTTTTGGGCATTCTGCATGTTGGCGACTGCATTCGGGTTGTTTTGGGCATTCTGAACGTTGCTGCCAGGCTGGTTGACGTTTGGCATCATACCTTGTCTTTGCAGCAACTGTTGTAGCAACTGCATTTGCTGGCTCTGTTGGTTGTTTTGGGGATTGCCAGGCTGGTTGGCGTTTTGCATCATGTTCGCCTGAGGGTTGTGCTGCGGGTTTTGAGCGCTTTGCATCGACATGTTCGCGTTTGGTTGCACTTGGTTTTGTTGTTGAGTCTGATTCTGATTCTGCAACATGGACAAAGCTGTAGCATTATTGGCAGAACTGTTGGCTTGCTGCTGATTTTGCGACAAGGCAGTTGGATTACTTCCGGCGTGCGGATGGTTCTGTGGCGTCGCAGCATTGCTGGCAGCATTGTTGGGGACGGCGTTCAGGTGGTTCGGTGCATTTTGCATGTTGCTGGACTGGTTGGCATTCTGCATCGTTCGCTGAGGGTTTTGATTTTGCTGCTGAAGGTTTTGTGCAACGTTCTGTTGTTGGGCGCTTTGCTGAGCTTGCTGGGTATTTTGCTGAGCTTGCTGTTGTTGGTTGTTTTGTTGAACGCTCTGTTGGGTGTTTTGTTGAACATTCTGATTTTGCTGCTGCTGCTGAAGGAGAAACTGCTGAAGTTGCAATACTGGATTTTGACTTTGTTGTTGCTGCGCTGGCTGGTTGCTGTTGGCGCCAGCGGCGGCTGCCTGGTTCTGATTTTGCTGTGGCTGCTGTTGTTGCTGAGTGAGCACTGCCAAGAGCTGTTGCATAGGATCTTGTGGTTGCGGTTGCTGCTGCTGCTGTTGTTGCTGGGCTCTCAATCGTTCATGCTCTTGTAACTTTGCCATTTCTTGCCTGAGGATATGTTGAAAGGGAAACAATCAGGTTTCGTCTCATCGCAAGACAAACAAATAAATCTAGACAAGCCAATAAATAGCTCTTTCTTACCTTCCCATCACCAAAAGCAGCTGCAACAATGTACGAACCACGGAGTTTTCTGTGACAGATGTAGTTGGTTCGTTGAGGTACTGTTGCCCCAAGTCTATGAGTTGCTGAAGAATAGTGACAGAATTGGCCATGTTGGCAAGCTGTTGCTGCGCTTGTGGTTGTTGCTGCTGCTGTTGTTGTTGCCCCGCACCAATGCGATTTCTCAAAAAGGCGGCCAGCTGTTCTTGAATATTGGCATTGTTTCCCTGCTGCTGCTGCTGCTGTGGGTGCGGAGCTGGACCAAAGACGGCATTGTTGTTGGCTTGTTGTTGTGGTGGTGGTGGTGGTTGCTGCTGCTGCAGACCAGTGTTGGATCCTGCATCACTGCTGGTATTGGTGCTACTGTTATTATTGTTGTTATTGCCAGCTGTAGACTGCGCCACGGCAGCCGCGGCCATGGCGGCGGCATCGAGTTGTGCAGCACTCTCGTTGCCACTAGTATGCCTTTGTGCCCTTGCAAAAACATCCTGAACATCACTGTCCATCTGCATGTGTCTGACCAACTGAGGATGATCTCGACGGAACAAACTGTTCTGAAAGGCCAAGACCGAATCCGGCACAGCGAAATCACTTGTGCGACGAAACCCCCTTGAAAATCAAGAGAAAAAGAGAAATTATAGAAGGAGAGAAATGAGACAAGAGCTAGCTACAAGCATAGCAATCAATCAAAGCTATCCTCACCATCGACTCATGTTGCCGAGAAAAGCCGAGTATCGACCGTTTTGAAAATTGTTCTGCAAGATGTTATTGGATTGGATCCTGTTGGGGTGGATCGCCACAGCCTTTCCATCTCCTAGCCACCACAACGATTCCTTGGCCAGATCATTCTGCAACACATGCATGAGACGCTCGGGAAAGTTGGATGGCGCATCGACCGCGGGAACGGGAGGTTGGTTGGGAGGAGCCGACGGCCCGTTGTTGGGAGAGTTTCCTTCGTCCTCGCCATTGCCGCTCCCACTCCCACTGCTACTGTTATCCGGAGGACCCGTGCCATGGCGTTTGGCTGAGACGACAGCAACATTGCATGACAAACGAAATCGACAGCAGAGGATGACACCATGAGAAGAGCTATAGAATGACCCACGCAACCACTGCGACCGCTATGCATACAACTAACTCACCAGCGGGTTTGGACTCGTCGTCGCTCACGTTGCGTTTCATCCTTTCAATGATGGCTTTACTCTATCTAGGAGGTAGTTACGCTTGTCTTGAATGTCTTGTCTTGTCCGGCTTGAACACAAAAGGTTGTCCACTTCGACAAACGACGTTGGTAACGGTGTTATCGGTACTAATACTGCTTCGAATGTCTTGCACTCTCCGTGAGACCATTGGTCACCGTGGCCTTCCGTCACGTCTCTTCGAACCGAACCGCGGATGTCTTGCATTGTGTTTGTCAGACAGTGATGTCAGCAAAGGGAGTTGAAGTCCTGGGAGTTTCATTCCATTCCCAGAATAGGTGCGCAGGCCCTCACTCTCCAAATTTGTGATAATTAGGCTATGGTTAGAGTTACTTAGTGTCTTCGCCGAACAAGTCGCGCGACAGGACTTAAGAAGCCGTGTCGACCCCATGTTGCTGCTTTTTCGATTTTTGGCCATCTCCCACCGCGAGTGTTGGCGGTAGTGACTTCCATCTTCGTTACTTTGGCTCAACGAAAACGGCAAGTGGGCAGAGAGGGTATCTACCAACCATCTCATCTCTTTTCTCTAGGCTCCTCTTTTGGTTTGGAAAAAGGTGCTACTGTACCAGTTCAAAGGGGAAGACAAGGCAAGCGGTCACAGCGTGCCATTTATTCAATGCTTCCAAGGAGAAGCGTTAGACGAAGAGACAAGATGACGACAGTTGGATGGTCATCATCATCATGGAAACAAGCACTGTCGTTGCTGGTCCTTCTCTTGGTAACGAGAGAGTCCAGTGCTGTGAGGGGTGGTAGAAATTTGCTGGTAAGAATGCGCATTTGTTTATTCCGATGGCATTGTGATTGGGTTTGTTCCATCTCGCTCGTCCCGTACTCACTCCTTTGATGTATGCTCTTGACACCTTGACACGCTACTGTTCGCTAGACACAACACCGGAGGAATGCCTTTTCTCCTCGAATTGTCGGTGGCAACACAGCCAGATCTGGGAGGTACCCGTATGCGCAAATATCGCTGGCCACAGAGTCGGGGCTGCATCAATGTGGGGGGTCCTTGATTGCGCCCGATATCATATTAACGGCTGGACATTGTCACGGCTTTTTCACCCACATTCGTGTCAACATTTACAATCTCAAACAAGAGCTACAATCCTTTGAGGTCTTCAAAGCAGAGAGGATGCACTTTCATCCCAACTTTGATGAACTCTGGTTTCGATACGACTTTCTCTTGCTACAGCTCAATGGAACCGTCCAAGGCATGCAACCCGTCCAAATCAACTCGGATGTCAATCTACCCGTGCCCAACGATCCACTCACGGTGGTGGGCTGGGGGTTGACCGATCCTGAGGATAGTGCGGCCTATCCGGACGAACTCCGAGAAGTCACGGTCAATTACATGTCCAATGAGGTCTGCGAACAAACCACTTCGAAAGGGCAACGATTGTACCAGGGATATATTTTCAACGATATGCTCTGTGCTTATGATAGTGGACAGGATGCCTGTAGTGGAGACAGTGGCGCTCCCTTGATTCGACCGGGGTCCACGTCCGAGCAAGATGTCGTGGTGGCGGTGGTGTCGTGGGGGAATGGGTACGTGATCTATTCCTATTTACAGTTGAGTGGAGTGTTAGATGTGAATGTCGGTCTTTCTTACCAGCAACGTCGCCGTGATCTCTTGTTTTGCTCCAAATGAAGCTGCGCCACGGAATATCCTGGAGTGTATGCCAGAGTAAGCTATCAATACCCGTGGATAAGAGAGCTAGTTTGCGCCATTTCGAGTGACCCGCCATCATCCTTTGAATGCTTGAGCAGTACCAACAATAATAACAATCCACAGAGCAATGGCAACGGCAATGGCAACAATGATGTTAACAACTATGTCAATGTGGTCAATTCTCCAATGCCAGCGCCAGCACCCGCACCGACTCCAGTGTTGGTTGGTGGTGGAGCGATGCCCGTTACGGCGGCACCGACAGCATTACACATCCCGGAAGATCACATACCCATCAAGGTGGAGATACAGTTGGATCTGCGAAGCAAGGACACGGGGTGGTCGCTCGTGTCGTCGGACGATGGCACCATCGTGGCCGAAGTGGAACCCGGAACGTATCCCCAACCATACCAATTGATATCGCAAGTCGTGCCATTGCGCAAGTCCACCCAATTTGTCTTTATTGTGACGGATTCTCAAGGAGATGGCATTTGCTGCGAATTTGGAGGAGGGTGGTTCCAGGTATCCGTGGTACTGTCGGACGGTGGGACGGATCCACTGGTCAAGGGGTATGGTACTTTTTCGCTTTCGACCACCAATGTCTTCAAGACACCTGCGGATAATTTGCCGCTCCCCATGCTGGAATTGTTAGAAGAGCCTTCGCACGAACAAGTAGCTTCGGTACCGCTGACGACCGCCGCCCATCCCGGTTCCGATCCACCACCAACGGCACAACTTCCCTTGACAGATCTGTACAATACGTCGGGGAGCGCTTCTAGGTCCCTGTTGTCGGTGTTTGTGACGACAGCAGCGATGCTATTCTACGGTGCATTGCAATGATGGATTGGCACAATTTTTCTCTGGAGGCAAGCGTAAGAGTACCCTTCTTTCTTACTTTTCTCGGTAGAACATTCATTTAGCTTATAATAATCATAACTGAACAATTTGTATTTAATCTCGAATAAACATCACCCCAACTGCTTGGTAGACGTCTGTCCTGAAGCTTCTACTACTGTAGCTAGTGCTGATCGTAGACTCAGTGACAAATGTTGTTGCTATCTACTTTATTAAAGAGGAAGAGCCGATCCTACTAGCTAGCCAGGAAGAGCATGCTATTACTACTTGTTTTGCTTGCTTGTAGTACCTTGCCATGGCGTTCATTATATTATATCAGAGCAGGATTCTTCGCTTTGCTATTTCCACGAGACGACTCCGTGACAAGTCGTTTGTTGGGCGGCTGCTGTGATTTACTAGCCAAAACACCACCGAGCATCCATCGATTCTTGACAAACAAGTCATTGGCCATGGTTCCACTCTGCCGCACCCGGTTGCCACAAAAGGGATTTTCATTGAAAAATGGTCCCTTTTCGTCATCCGGATTGGCCGATGGCACTTGTTCATCCCCAAAGATTTCTGCCAGCATGGGAGGAACTTGTTGAATGAGATCATTATCCAACAAGTACTGACAATCGGCAATTCCTTCCAGCTCCGTGTTGGTGGTCAAGAGAAAGGGAGTCCCCTTTGGAATTGCCGCCAAGGCATTGGTCCAATCATAATCGGGACATGTGAATCCTGGATTGTGAAAGACGACGATATCTGCCTTGGAGAGTTGCTCTTGCTGGAGCAATTCTGTGGTGTATTCACTGTGGTAGCTCTTGACCATTAAATCTCCTACAGTGCCGCCCTCGGCCGATTTCAGTTTTCGTGTTTCTTGAACATTCTGTTTGGGACATTCCGGTCCTACGAAGAGCAATTCAATGGTATCCAACCGTTTGGTTTCTGCCAGTTCTGCCAAAGCATCGGCATATGCATTCCATACATTCTGTTGCTGCTTCATCATGCAGGGACTATCCCAAAATTCAGCATCCTGCGACGCCCCAATAATATGAATTACCAGATTCTTGTGCTGGTTGTGGATGCTATACAACGGTCCCTGGAGAATGACATTGGCCAAAGTGGCAGGATAAGACTCAAATTCACTTCTCACTCGATCCATGGCAGCTTCCTTGGCAGTTGTATCTTTTTCCAGTTGACTCTGCGTGGTCTTGTCGTCTTTGGTTTCCTCATTGACGGCTTCATCGTGGTTGCACAATCGCAATAGCGTACAGATAATCGACGAATGTCCCATGGCACTTTCTTCTTCTTCTCCCGAACATGACATTCCAGCATCGGCATCTTGCTTGCGACAGGCTTCACTGCAATAACTGACTCGTTGACATTGAGGACAGTCCACAATGGTTGACGACGTGAATTGTTCACCACAAGCGCAACATGCGTCAAAGCCCAACTGGAGCGAAAATTCCGGATGACGAGCCATCAAATGCATCGTCCGAGTCTGCTGCTCGGGCAAATCTTCCATTCCTAACGATCTCAAAAAGTCCATCTTTGCTTTGCTTTGCTTTGCTTTGCTTTGCTTTGTCTGTTTAGTTGGTTACGGTACAATTGGGGTTTCTCGTGGTCGTCGGGATCTTTCCGTCGTCTTTGGCAAGATGTTGAAAAAATGAGAGAGGAACAAAAAAAGCCGATGGATGGTGGGTGTCAAGAAAACAAATCAGTGGTTGGAGCAGTCTTTTATGTAACCCGCGCAGCGCGTCCTGAATTAGGGTCAACCCTTCTGAAAGCCTTAGCCTTAACTAAACCGTTACCCAGCTTCACGCGGTGATCGTGGAGAAGTCCCTTGGGGAAGACTGCGCTTCCAGCGGTCCAAGCAAAGTCTTGCCAGTCACAAAGTGTACCAGTAGCATGGGCAGGCGTTGTACTATAGGTGACCTCATATTTAAGATACGACTGTACTGTTGTAGAGGCCGATTTTCCCACTGAGCTGACCCTTGCATCACACCGAAGTAGTCTATTCAATGAGATAGACTAGATATCAGATATCAGGATAATCAAGTACCATACTTGTATCTTGACTTCTATTTGGTCTCATCAGCAGCCATGAAATAATGGAAACCCTGCTGCTCCATCCTACCAGTACCGGTACTCCACCTGAACATGGAAGCTCCGGTTTGTTTTGCCTTGGCTGCTGGAGGCTGATTTTTTTGTTCCAATAGAATCTTTATTATTATTACTCTATAGTAATACAAATTGTATCTTGGATGTTTTGCATCATCGCACTCATACGGTACGGTTACATGTATCAGTATGTGCCGTTGGGGCAATGATTACAACACGAATAGAGTACTGGTACCGGGTAGCTAGTATTGCAGTTCATTGAAATGGGTGCTGGAGATTCTCTCATAATCTAAAATAAGAGGTAAACATGGAGTCGTTTGTTGACACCCGCGCGTGATGTCCGGCGCTGTTCTTTGGATCTTTCACATCCACGATGGAGGCAATCAAGAGTTCGCGAGTTCGCAACCCTGTTACCCTTTGAGGAGCTCACAATCCAGCCCAAACGAAAAAAAGAGAAGATACTTCACTTCCCCATCTAAAGTCAAATCACAATCATCCACCATGCCAGAAGGAGATAAGCCCGCTGTCCAAGAAGCCCCCAAGGGAGCCGTCCCAGAAGAAGGTCCCAAGACCACCAACTTTTTGAAGGTCGACAGGTCCCTCCGCCCCGAAGGATTCCACATTGAAGGCAGTGGCGCCAAGTAATTCGAGGAGTCGAGTGAGGCGGAAGCAGGTCGAGTTGGATCGTGTCCCGATAGTATGTAGTGTTTTGAGCGTCACTGTCGGCGTCTTGGGACGTTGCGAATGATGGAGGGACGAGACGGCTCTTGTTGTGGATTTACGGAAGAGATACTTTTTTCAAATTAAGCAAATATAGGTGTTATTGTGACCAAAACCGTTTCCCTATTATCTATTCCATCGCTCTGTAGTCTAGCCAGTGCCTGTTTGATAGTCGAGTAGACCAAGAGGCCATGGACAAGCCCAGGGCTGGAAGCAGGAAGCAGCATTGCTAGGAGGAACGACGAGAGAGAACACGGTCTGCATTCGATCGTATCTTTCACTTCCTGATGGTTCTCGTTTTTGACAACAACAGAAGAATGGTATTCTGATGAGGAACCATGAGGACAAAGGAGGATGCCAGGGGCTAACAACGCCACCGATACAGTCCGTCTCAGATGGATGGAGGTAGATACACAGACTTTGGGTTACCTGGGACCGCTTCGTCTAGCTCGGCAGGCAGCGAACATCAAGACTTTGCCATTGTCAACAGATTTCTTCGTCTTTCTTTTCCATTCGAAGCGAAGGAATCCGTCAAGACAACAAGAACACAAGGGGTTCTCGCCTTGCCGACAAGATGTACGGTATGGGAGCTCCTGAGGCTCTGGCTAGCTAGAACCTGACAGAGAGAAACAGAGCACTGAAGGCGGGTTGAACGGGAGAAAGCTGATTTACGATCCCAGATACCCAAGCATTGCTTCCATCATGTCAGGCTCTAGCTCTTATCCTTCCTTGGATTCATTCATTCAACGTGTCTTCTGAACAGAAGAATGGATTTTAATACTCCATGATAGCCTAATAGCCGAAAACATCTCTTGGAGGAACGATAATGGCTGGGTATCTGCCTCAGATTGGCCTATGCGGCACAGGACAACACAGGACAACTAATTTTTCAAGACCTATTTCCATCCATCGGTGATTTTGATAGGTTGACATCCCGCAAATGAGACTATTTCAATGACAATCTACAACTTGGATAATTGGCATTTTTCGAGATGTCATCCATCAGAGTTTGGTATCTACCTTGTCAAGACGGCTTCAAGAAGAGTGCAGCCTTGCCAGTTGATGCCTGTCGACCAACTGATACCTAAACAACCTAGTTGATGTTGAGGTTCCCTCGATCCACCAGTGGATGATCGCTTGGGTACCGATGCCCTGTTTCCTTTTCCGTCGCCAGGAATACAATACGCCATTGATCTTTCAAGAGCCGAGAGTTTTGGGCAGGGTTCGTCGTGCTCAAATTGCGAACCATTGCCAAGGAATAGATGCTGGGAACGACCAAATTCGTCCCTCGCTTTCTGCAGACTATCGAAACAACCATCCTGCTGGGGCCGGGTGGGTATCCCGTGCCCTTACGCTTATTACGCGTCGAAAGCTGTTGGGGTTGTCATTACACCAACCCAAAACAAGTGCGGCAACGCACATCCCGAACAAAGCTTGAATGGGATACAAGTCTTGAATGCTGGAGATCGCATAAAAGGAAGACTCTTTTCGAAACGATAACAAGATGATCAAAGAACTGAAAATGGCTCAAGTTCAGGGGCTGGAGCTGCTGAGACGGTACTTGGCCAGAGAAGAGTTCACGGTCAACTAAATGTGAGAATCTGTTGCTTGCTCTGAAACCGAGGAAGCTCTGGGATTTGTTCCTACTCTTATGGATGCTCCGGAAGGTGGTACTATCAACAACAATTCCAGTCCACGACCGCCCCTTTCTCTAGTGTCGACATGAAACACCGTCATTCATTTGTGGTATCACTGTGGCTCGATCATGATCTATCTTGTCACAACGTGCAAGAGCATTGGGACCATGATGCTGCAAACCAAAGGGACGTGGAACGGACCCCCATAAGCGATCTGTTGAATCATTGGACAGAGTCGAAGCCCAATGTTTTGTCCGTCTTGGAGACAAGGCATATCCTGGCGATGCCGTACGGAAGGCTGTCCACTCCCTGCTGCTTCTTCCAGAGACGTCTCCATCACTAAGCTGCCTTGCATCACGCACTGGGTGGCAAACAAGTACAGAGCCCGTTGAAAACGAGCCCATCATTGCGAGTTCCAGGCTGAAGGTATTGCGGCGGCGAAAACAACAACAATAAACCGATCGTTGTGGCGCGCATGGATTGATCCAGCAGGGATTCTTGCACGCTCGACGATTGGAAAATGAATTTACTGCTTGCTTGCCTTGAATTGCTTGGGTCCAAGGTCAAACTTGTCACGGCAACTTTGTGTATTATTATTGCACCGTGTTCTCCTAGGCAACAAGGATGAAGTGAGGGAAGAAAGGTTCAGATATTGCTGGAGCTCGTTGCTCGAGAAGCATTCCCTTTGCTCGTGGTGCATGGGGCGAGGTTGCTGTCAGTGGCTCCTCGTAATGCCCAGTGCAATACTTTTGGTTGATACAAAGAGTTGCACTCTGAGACTTTATGTAGCTTGTGTTCAGGTTCACTACCGTATCGAGCTAGCTAGTAATAGTAGAGTTCACAAGCCCAACCTGCAATTGAGCTCCAGCCATGTACCGGTACCTGGTACCGGTAGATAGCGGTGGCTTCCGTGGGGGCGACGACGGTCATGATTGGATCCACAACAGCTCCCACGACGACGCTGATGATTTATTCGATTGAAGATTCGATTCGATTGAGATTCATCATTCAATCGAATGCTTGTAGAGTTGAGGAATTATATTGGCCCTGTTCTTAGCTCTTTGTATACCGCTGCGAGTGCCAGGTGGAAGAACAAAAGGGGTGAGGAAGAGGGGGAAAACAAAAGTGTTTGGGGGTTTGGGAACTGACTCAGCTTGAATTCCCCGTAATCAACCTAGTATTCTAGCTTCAAGGATTCTAGATTCCAAATCATTGACAAGAGATGCGAGCAAATAGAAGTACGAAGGGAGGAGTTTCGATTCCACGTTCTTCCAAGTTGAAGTCTGGATTTTCTCTTCTGCGAAAATCTAATCGGCAGTCGCGAGAATGACAACGCACCGATCGCGAAGCTATCAGCTTGCACTACGGGCACTTTGGTTGTCTGCTCCTCCTCTACATGTTGTCGTAGCCAGTTGCCCATCACATTGCTTGAAGCAGAGCTGCATTGAGGACACCTCTGTAGAACATTTTCTTTTGGAAGACCAAGTTTTCCTCCACCCAACCCAAACGGCCTTGAGATAGTTCTACCCCAGGAAACCATGGCGAAAATGCAACCACCACAATCATCATCATCATCTTGTAGTAGACAAGCATTCCTGATTGCTTGCTTAATAGTGATTTCACAACATACATCATGGTCGCTTTCCCCTGGCCAAAAGCCTGCCAAGCCGAGTGGTGCCAGGGGTCGGTCCTTCCAGAATTCTCCCATGAAAATGTCGGAGGCTGCGATTGTATTTTCGGAGTTTAATGGCGACAACGATGCAGCAGCAGCCATATCACGAGTACGAGAACGGATACTGGACACAAGCGACCAATTAGCAACCGGTATGGGAGGTGTCCGAAAGAAAAAGTACAAACGCAATTCCATCCCAGAAACTGAGAAAGAAAAGCGACGACTCCAGTTGGTTCGTCAAGCAGAGTATCAGCAAGTCGTAGCCGAAGCTAGAGCTGAAGGTAACCCGACACCCAACATATGGAGCTTTGAGTGTCTGTTTCCCGATCCGGTGTGGGACGAGACTTGTATTAAGCGAGACCTGTTCTCTATTAAGGATCAAGACCAGGCAACACTGGCCAATGCCAAAGCGAAGGGACCGAAGGCTGTTCGCACTAATATGGGTCCCCTCATTCAGAAGCAAAATCGACAAGCTGAAACTGGTAGCGTGTTCGGGATGTTTGGACAGACAGAGTTGAAAGCTCCATCTGCCTCTTCTACGACAGCAAGGGGTGCAGCCGCTGTGGCTATGGATGCTAACGCCGAAGCTGCTACTGTAGACGCTCTGGGCATTATCGCAGCTCCCATGCAGAATGCATCCACCACCGTGTTGACAAACGGCAAGGTGGACCGTGGCTTAACTCGGTTGGTGGAGGACAAAATCTATGGCTACAGACGAACTGTGGCGGGTCAGTTCCAGTATGAGACTTCCCTGATGGGAGATGGTGCTATTCAGTTTCGGGATGGAGTGAGGCTTGGGAATCCTTTGCCTTTAAATACAGACCGCATGACGTACTTTGCCAAAAAGGAACTGCAACACGGACGAGTGGAGGAGGCGAAAGAACTTTACGAGACGGCTGTCAAGACGGATCCGCGTGATGGTCGGGCCTACCTGGGACTGTCTCGATGCGCCGAACGACGACGTGACTTTAAGCTAGCCCGAGACTGGTTGCGGGCTGGCATTCAAAACTCGGCGGCAAAACCAGCTAGCTCCAATACACCACCGGATCAGGGAGGCAACCCGTTTCTGTTGCAGGCATTAGGCCGTATGGAAGAAAAGCGCGGGCACTTGGCCGAGGCAGAGTCTCTGTATGTTCAGGCAGCAAGGTCTCGACCATCGCATGCGGCAGCGTGGGTTTCTCTGGCGCAACTTCGAACACGCAAGCTGGGACAAACCATAGCTTCGGGTCGGGTTTGCTACGAAACCGCAGAGAGAGAATTGGAAAGGGCTGGCCTGCCACAAAACTCTCATGTGTACACGGCGTGGGCAGCCCTGGAATACCACGGTGCCGGAGATGTGCGTCGAGCACGACAACTGTTCCAGTCAGCCCTGAAAGTTGACCCCAAGTGCTCTGCGGCTTGGCTGCAGCTTGGAGTGATGGAGGCTGATAACGAAAACTGGGACGCAGCAGAAGAGGGTTTTGAGAAAGTGTTGAAGTTTGATAAGCGCAACACTCGTGTCATGCAGGCGTACGCTCTCATGGAAACTCGTCGGCCAGAAGGCAGCAGTCGCAAGGCCATCGACCTGTTTGAACGGGCCCTCAAAGTGAACCCTCGCGATGCAGGTGTCCTTCAGCCATATGCTTTGTACGTGGCGGAACTCGGTGACCTAGAAGCCGCCAGAGAGCTGTAAGTAAAAAGAAATTGTTCTTGCTTGGCTCATACGTCGTTCACCACTCGCGCTGACGATTGGATGCTGTTTTATCTCTCTTGTTCGACAGGTTCCGACGTGGCACTGAAGTCAAAAAGCGCCATGCTCCAGTCTGGCAGGCATGGGGTGTCCTTGAGATGCGTCACGGACACCCCGAGGAAGCCCGAAAGATTTTCCAACAGGGTATTTGGGCATGTGCCCAGCTGGCTGGAAACCAATCGGGAGGCTACCACTGCGCACGGCTCTGGCAAGCCTGGGGAGTGTTGGAGGCCCGAGAGGGCGACTACCCAGCCGCCAGACGTTGCTTCAGCCGTGCCTTGGATGCGGATAGTCGCAACGTGGCCACTGTCACAGCATGGACCAACATGGAAGAAGAGTTGGGCAACATTGATGATGCCAGGGCTCTCCTGGAACGATCACTCAAAAACTACGCCCCTGGTTGCGACGCCAAGACGACTTTGTGGCGCGCTTATGAACTGATGGAGCAACGGTCTGGCAATGTCGAAGCTGCTCAAAATGTCTACCAACGATCCATGCGAGAGAGCTTCAACGTGCAAGATGACAATTCCTTTGTCATTGACGAAAAGAAGAGGGGTGAAGCTCCTCGCGCAACAAAGGGCCCGGAAACGGCCAGGAGGAAAAATGAGGAAGAAGTAGAAGTCAGTCGTTGGGACGAGTTGTCTTCCATGGGAGGAGGAGAAGTTTGGATGAACAATGGCGTCGATACTACAAAAAAGGCGAGAAATTTTCAATGAATGCATTGATGCATCGCATGCAAGCTAACTAACTGATCCAGAATGAATCAGAATGATGTACACTTTATAAAACTACAGTATCATGCCACCAGCTGCATCGACAAGAGTTCCAAGCAGCATAGATTCAAGTTTATCTCTGCGACCCAGCGGAAGATGCACAAAGGAGGAGATACGCAAGCACTAATTAAAAAGAATAGAGCACAACCCGTTACATGGTCATGGCCGTGTCCACTTGTTAGAACGCACTTCTTCTCTATGGCGGTTGGCAATGTTGTGTTGACCTGTAACATCAAACCATAAAGTTACAGGGTTGTATCTATAATATTTTGCAGCCGACACAAGTGCTGTGACGGTGCATCGTTCCAAGTTTGGTTTGCCTCCCAAAAATCCATGGCAAATAATAGCGCCTATGCTACAGTTGGAGTTCAGCCTGGCTGTTACTCGCTCTAATCGTCCAAGCACACAATGACTTGCGGAGCTCTATTTCGACGATTGGCCCGTGCTGCTTGCCGCCTTCGTCGCTTTCTCGATAAATTGTTGTTGTTGTCGCTGTTGTTTGCAGCCGCACCATCCTTTTGTGTACGCTGCTTGTAACTCTCCACATCCTCCTGGTCAAAGACTGAAGATCCATTTTGTACCAACTGCTCAATCAAGTTTTGCAAAGGTCGGCAAACAACTTGCCCCGTAAGTGGTCCCCGACATTCCGCGCATTCGGTTTGTTGAGTCAGGCACTGTCGGCAAAAGGTGTGTCCACAGGGCACCACTGTTCGCGGTTCGACCATGATTTCCATGCAACTGTGGGCGAAAAAGAGAAAGAAGAGAAAGAGACAATGAGAAATCGCCCAAACAACGGGAACCGTTCGTAACCAGAGAGAGAGAGAGAACAGCGACTTGCATGGGGCACATGGTTTCTTCTCCAATCTCTTTCGGTAGTGATGCGGCAGGTGCAGCGGCATTCTGTTCTGTGGAAGCAGCAGCCCCCGCATCGTCCGACTCGATGGTGGTGGCTTGATCATCATCATTGTTGCCACTGGCAGCTGCTGGAGTGCCGTTGGGTTGCTCCAGTCGGTAGGAATATGAGTCTGCGTCCTCGTCATCGTCACTGCTACTACTCGACCGCAAGGCCAAAATATCTCCCACTTTGATTGCGCAACGAGCCCCTTTGATCATGGAAATTCCATTGAGTTGCACAACCCCCATGGCATCGGGGATGCAGTACGCATACGACTTGTTGCGTTTCGTGTATATTTTGACGACTTTGGAGGACAGCGTTGGGTCGACTATTTCCGTCTCGTCGTTGTCTCCCAGGTACACAATCGCGGTGTCATCTTCCAGAGTCAGTGTCGCTCGGTCCGTCAGGACGTCGTGAGTTGTTGAATGAATCGGAATCAGCTGGAGTTCCGTCGACATGGTTGCTTCACAAGGTACTGCTGGCTACTGATGTACACGCTGCCTTTGTATTATGATGTAGTCCGTTGGTTTCGGCGTGCTCAAAGGGAAGATTTCCGTTCACGGTCGCCTCCTTTTCTTGTACTAGTATGGTATTGAACTGATCGGGCTGTGGTGACACCTACCTGCCAGCGCAACAAAAGTACACAGTGTATCAATGAAGGATACAACGCCCTTCTACCGCTTTATGAGTACGAAGATGCGATTCGATTCTTTGCACGGAGCTAAGAACAGGACTGATGTGAGCTCACACTGATAACATGTGCCCAAGCCGTCGCCAAGCCAGTACCATACCGGTACACCAAAACGAACCGCCATTTTGCATGTTCAAGAGGGAAGATAGCGAATCACGCGGGATTCGGGCACAAACCAAAATTTCGGTTGTCGAGGCAAAGGCTCTTCGTGGGCTTCTGCTAGCTACCGGTACGGTACTACCCTATCCGGATAGTACTAGCAGCTAGCTAGAAGGGCGCAAGTATGGTAGACTGCATGATGAAAGAGCTGGCTATTGATGAATGAGGTTGCAAGCAAGTGCATCATGAGTGAAGGAATGTCGTAAAAAAGCCAAGATTTCTTGGCAACCAAGCAGCACAAAGCAGAAAACAATCAAACCCGAAGAAGCTAGAGCTCTGCACTACGCAAGGAAATCTAGAGAATCGAATCAAGTATGTATGGATCATTTGTCAAGCCATAGCATCGTCCGTCAAAACAAGCGTTCCTTGTATTGTTGCCTGCCTCATTGTTCATGCATAATCCTTCGATGCGAATTTGGTTTCATCAAAGAACTCCGCCTGCACTTTGCGCCCATCAAACGTCCGTCCCCGTAATCCGTCAATAGCCTTTTGTGCATCCATATTGCTGGTGTATTCCAAAAAGATTTTGGTGGCTCCCACTTCATTCGCTTTGGGGATGACGACGCTAATGAGTTGTCCAAATTGGGAACATTCCTCTCTGGTATCTTCGAGAATATCATTGTACTCTTCCTCATTTTCCAAATCTTGTGGTGCCAACATGTGTTTGAGTTCCACCACACGAGAGGGTGGATTGCCAGCGGCTGGTTCTGGAACAGCAGGAGGGTTGTTGTTGCTGGTGGCTCCACCCACGGCGGCATCTCCCAACTGCAATTCTCCAGACATGTATTTGGCGAGTATATCTTCCCAGTTTCCATGATGATCGGGTGGTCCATTCCATTTGGAGGGTCGTCCCACACGCAACTGTGTCCCCATAAAGGGGATATTGGTCAAATTCAAGGCATTGGCGGCTTCTTGTGGCGACCGCAGTTCGATAAAGGCAAATTTTCCAGAGACGCGACAAGCGGTAATGGGATTTCCCGGCAAAATGTTGAGTCCAACCTGCAACATGGCGTTTCCCAGAAATTCTCGTAGCATGGATTCTGTCATTTCGGGTGTGGTATTCCCCACAAACAATTCTCGATTGACCTTTTCTTGTTCGGCATCCAAGGCAACCCCCATTGGCAATTGTTGTCCTGTGAGCGATTGCCATGTTTTGGCCGGCATGGGAGGACCCGTGTATTTGGAAGGACGTGATACCTTCAAGACGGCACCCAAAAAGGGAATGCCATTGAGACTTTGGAAAAGAAAAAACACAAAAGATAGACCCAGCCAGTTAGAAGGAAACAATATCATGGAAGCAATACCTCAGAATCAAATGGATATATCCAGGACAACGATCGTTACCATTGTAACAACCCATTCCGATTATTACTAGCCAGTGACTCACCTCAATGCTCGATTGGCCACTTCCGCATGAACCAATTCAATAAAGGCGAATTTGGTATTGACACGACAATTCAAAATGGGTGTCTCGTTGGGTTGGCAGAGATTCACACGCCTCATGGCTGCATTGAGAAAGTGCAACAGCAGCAATTCACTGGTACCCGGAGGAGTATTGCCTACAAACAACTCCCTGTTAATCTTGTCTTGTGCGGCTTGTTGTGCACTGAACATAATGTTGGTGGGAACCACTACAGGAAGTTGCTGCTGTCCGCCGCCGCCATATCCTCCTGGGGGACCATAGTGACCATCGCTGCGATCACGAGATCTAGATCGGTCTCGTCGATCTGCTGGCATGGTTGGTTGATTGATGAGATTGCTTGAGTTGAGTTGTGGATCTTGGTCTGCTTTCCCAGGCTCTAGCTAGTAGCAGTGTACTTCTCGGCTAGAATGTTCCCTCCTCTGATCGCACGGGTCTCGGTTGTTGTGTTGATGCGGTTGGAAGCTCCGCTGTTTGGGGACAACTGGCCAGACGGATCTTTGGTTCGGTAGTAGCCATCACAGCTGCCAATCTATCCACCGCCACAAGGCATACACTTGTACCATAACGGTCGGAACGTGAGAGAGGAACGATGTCTTGAAAGGGTTCAAAGTTTACGCTGCCTTTTGTTGCAGCTAGCTAGTAGCATGCATGCTAGCTAGCTAACCCTTGTTTGGGAGACTCTCCATAGCTTCTACCGTACCAGGTGAAGCAAAAGTTGAGGGATGACGTTACGGATTTTCAAGTACATGTTTGCTTTTCTACTGTAACTCGCAACAATCAAAACACCTCTTTGCGTTCCACGTACAACCACTTCAGGCATTCCTCAGGGCTGACATTGCTGGACGATCCAAGCCTCGACCTGTGAATCACACTGCTCTAGCAAATCGCGAAAGTTCAATGGACATCCGTTTTCATGGGCATACTTGAGGACTTCCAAGTGCCCAAACTCAGCAGCCGCAGAGCATGTCCTCTCGTCCCATGGACAGCCGTTCTCATGAGCATACATCAAAACTTCCAAATGGCCTTCTGCAGCAGCTTGGCTACATGTTCCTTCGTCCCATGGACAGCCGTTCTCATGAGCATACGCCAGGATATCCAAGCCACTTCCAGCAGCACCTTGACATGTCCGTTCATCCCATTGACAACCATTCTCATGGGCATACCGAAGCACCTCCATGTGGCCATTCTCAGCAGCCACAGCGCACGTATCTTCATCCCAAGGGCCACCATTTTCATGCGCATATTTGAGGCATTCTAACTGCCCATTCCGCGCAGCCTGGTGACATGTTTCAAAACCCAATGTGCAGCCATTTTCATGGGCATACCGAAGCACCTCCATGTGGCCATTCTCAGCAGCATAGGTGCACGTATTTTTTGCATCCCAGGGACAGCCATTTTCATGGGCATATTTGATGATTTCCAAATGGCCACATATCACAGCAAAGTAGCATGTGCCATGGTCCCATGGACAACCATTCTCATGGGCATATTTCAGGCATTCCAATTGGCCATTATCAGCGGCTACGTGACATGTCCATTTATCCCATTGCCCACCATTTTCGTGGGCATATTTGAGGCAATCCAAATGACCGTAGTAAGCAGCAAATTTGCATGTTTCTTTGTCCCATTCACAGCCATTTTCATGGGCATATTTCAGAGCATCAAAATGGCCATTTTTTGCAGCACCTTCGCATGTTTTCTTGTTCCATGGACATCCACTTTCATGTGCATATTTGAGGCAATCCAATTGGCCATGATTAGCAGCATTATGGCATGTGCTTTCATCCCAGGGACATCCATTTCCATGGGCATATTTGAGGATTTCCAGGTGTCCATTGCTAGCAGCATTGATGCAAGTCCATTTGTCCCAAGGACAGCCATTTTCATGGGCATATATCAGTATTTCCAAATGACCATTTTCAGCAGCAAAACAACACGTTTGGGAATCCCATGGACAGCCATTTTTGTGTGCATACTTCAAGACTTCCAGATGCCCTCCCTTTGCAGCAAAGGCACATGTCCACAAATCCCATGCAAATCCCTTATTCCGGGCCCATTGCAGCACAAGAAGACTACCTGCTTCGGCAGCTTTAACACAGACATTAGTATCTTGGATGTCATCACCAGTGCCAGTATGGCGATGCGTGTACCAGTACTCTGCCCGCTGCACACTGGAGAGGACTGCACTGTGGAAAGTATCTGTACACGACGCCGGGCGCTGCCGCTCGACAAGATCGAGTATTTCTTGAGGGAGATTGTGATCATTATCACCCTCGTATTCATCATCACACACCTCAGGTGGACTCTCCACAGCTTCACAGTATGTTGTGTAGAGATGTTTCATTTTATGGCAGACAGGCGCCACAAAAACGTATTGCCCCATACCAAGGCAAGGCAGAATCTGTTTGATCCAAATGTCGGTTTGCTCCAAGAAATCATCATCATCAGATTTGGGTGTTTGATGTACTCCCTGCATCTTTAGTTGCTTTTTGGAACGGATACTGGGTTTGTCATCAGTGGCACAGGTGGTAGACATGATGGTGTTTGCTTGCTTAGTATTGACTGTCACTCTTCCCTGCGGACAAGGGCAACAATCTAGCTAGCTACCGGTAGAGGACTTGGGTGCGCTGTGCCGTGTTGTTTGTTGTGTCCGAAGGCGGCGCTACCGATAGCTACCAGGTGGTACTAATAGTACGGCTGTAGCAGGGAGGATCTTTTGACGCAGTCGCGGATGCTCTATGACGGGACCGGTTGCCGCGACCGCCGGAAATGACAGGGCGGCATTGTTTTCCGCTTTGTTGCTTCATTTTAAAGCACCTGTATAACCTGGTTTGCTTTGACGGAGAGTGTTGCACCCTTTCGTGGTGTTGGATAATACTAATAAAGCGGCAGGCAGACATCGTTATCGTTTTTGGAGAGAGATAACAATAAATTCTAGCTCAAGAGGGTAACAATGACGACTCCACTCCTGGAAACGGTGCAACAGCAGTTGCAAGATGAACCCCTCTGGAAATTGGTCGTTGCGGCGTGCATGGTGTCGTACGGGTTGCAGTCACTCCTTGCCATGCTCATGGCTCCGGCCAATCGTCCTCCCTTTTACTACGAGTTGCCCTACATTCCCTGGTTGGGATCTTTGGTTCAATTTGCCGTCAATCCACGCGAACTCATTCAACGGGGCATGGTCGCTCACAAAGACAAGAACTGCTTTACCGTTCACTTGTTTGGTACCCCCATGACCTTTTTGACGGGCAGTGAAGGATTGGCCCATTTCTTCAAGGCACGAGAACATGTATTTGATATTCGAGAAGCCTATGCCATGACGATCATTACGTTTGGGCCGGGTGTCTGTTATGATTGTCCACAAAGCAAAATGGCACAACAATTCGCATTCTTCAAAGATGGACTCAGCGACAAGAGGTGAGTACAGTAGACACTGTCAGTACGAAAATGAAAAAGAGCTGCATTCTTATATCCACTTTCGTTATTCCATCTATTTGTTGTTGTTTGCCAGTTTTATCAAACACATGGAACTGGTACAGGAAGAAACTCTTCAATACTTTGACAAACACTGGGGAAAGTCGGGAGAAGCTGATATCTTGCAGACCCTGTCCGATCTTTACACACTGACATCCTCGCGATGTCTATTAGGAGATGAAATTCGAGCACAGTGGAACGAATCCGGTATGGCGGAACATTACATTGCTTTGGATCATTCCTTTGTCCCTATTTTGTTCTTTTTCCCATCCATCCCCAATCCTCATCGCTCCAAATGCGTCACGGCTCGAGAATTGTTCAAAGAAATGTTTCAAAAGGTGATTGACAAACGACGCCAGGCGGAAGCCAATGACGACAATTATCAAAAGCCACATGATTTCTTGCAAGTGCTCATGGAAGCCAAGTACCGGGATGGATCAGAGTTGGAAATGCAAGAGATTACTGGAATCATGATTGGCGTGTTGCTAGGAGGACAACACACATCCAATGTCACGGGATCGTGGCTCTTGTCGCATCTGCTCCGGGAACCCAAGTGGTTGCAAGCCGTCATGGACGAACAACGCAAGCTCTTCCCCGACGACGGTGAGCATGCCATTCATCCTGCGACACTTACGTTTGATCAAGTCAACAAGGAAATGCCCGTGATGGATCAAGTCTTGTCCGAGACGCTTCGTTTGCATCCACCCTTCTTCCAACTCAGTCGCAAAGTTTTGGAGGATTCCAACTTTAACGGCATTACCATCCCCAAGGGAAATATCGTGAACATTAGTCCCTCGGCGTCGATGCGGGATCCGGCAATGTGGGACGACCCTCACACATTCGATCCAACCCGGTTTGCGCCCGAAAACAAGGATAAGATCAAACAGTATGCGTGGGTGCCCTTTGGAGGAGGTACGTGAATGATTGAATCGCGTTGTGTATGTTTCTTGCGTTGTTCCACGGGAATCGGTTACCTAACTCAAATATTGTTTGTTTGTGTCATGCAGGCATGCACCAATGCGGTGGTCGCAAGTTTGCCTGGAACTCTTTGAAGGTGAGCTTGACATGGATCTTGCGCAACTATGAAATTGAAATCATAGGCAAGGGCGCCAACGAGTTCCCTAAGGAGGATTACACCACCATGGTTGTCGCTCCAACCAGCAGCCACACCCGTGTGAGGTTCAAGCGTCGTGAGCAGGTTGATTCCATTTAGAAAGGATTGCCTGGCGTTTTACTTCTTCCTTCCGTGTTGAGGGCTTCATCAGCTGTATTGCTTCTAGCGAGCTAGACCACTGGATACCGTAAGAGTAGTAGTGAGAATGGCCCTGATTCTGATTGATTCTGTGCGTTTTAGGATGGAAGTATTTCTCGTAGATTCGATAGGTGAAGATTCCTCACAATTTCAATTTTTGGTTTTCCAATTCCACACAATTTCAATTTCTCCATCTTTCGATTTCTCACAATTTCAATTTTCCGATTTCTCACAATTTCAATTTCCTGATTTCTCACAATTTCAATTTCCTGATTTCTCACAATTTTAACTTTCAATATTTCTCACAATTTCAATTTTGGTTTTCCGATTCCACACAATTTTGACTTTTCCATTTTCCGATTTCTCACAATTTTTATTTTCAATTTCGTGATTTCTCACAATTCTTACTTTATATTTTTCTCACAATCCAAATTTTCGATTTTCCAGTTCCTCACAATTTCAAAATTCATGTTTCCGATTTCTCACAATTTTTATTTTCAATTTCAAGATTTCTCACAATTCTAACTTTCAAGATTTCTCACAATTCAATTTTCGATTTTCTGATTCCTTACAATTTCAACTTTCCCGATTTCTCACAATTTCAACTTTCCCGATTTCTCACAATTCTAATTATTTTCGATTCCCTACATTTTCAATTTTCGACTTTCTGATTCCTCACTATTTCAATATTCCCGATTTCTCACAATTTCAATTTTCCCGATTTCTCACAATTCTTACTCTCCCGATTCCTCACAATTCTTACTTTTCCTAGTCCTCACAATTCTAATTATTTTCGATTCCTCACAATTTTAATTTTCGACTTTCTGATTCCTCACAATTTCAATTTTCCCGATTTCTCACATTTTCAATTTTCCCGAATCCTCACAATTCTTACTTTTCCTGTTTCTCACAATTCAAATTATTTTCGATTTCTCACAATTTAAATTTTCCGATTTCTCAATTGATACATGTACCGCCAACCAACAACCCTGTGCAGCTACGTGCTCTCTTTGTTGTGTTATTAGCTACCGCTAACCAACTATGCCATACATGTAGATGGTCTCTAGCTAGCTAGATACTGTGTAGTGGTAGCCCGAAGGCGGCAACAACACCAAGGCATTCTTTTGTATAGCACAGTATTGGAAGAGATTGCAGCAGTTGTAGGCAAGAGCTTTCTACGGTGCTACTGTAGCCAGCTAGAGGCACGAAGCCAATGTAGTACAGTAGTACAGCTAGCTAGTAGTAGAGGCAAACTATTTGATGTCAATGAAGTTGTCTAGTGGTTATATGATGGTTAAAATGTGTAGTACAAACGTAGTATCCCAATGTCCGGCTGCGAGCTAGGCTAGTATGGCGATCAACACCGAAGGCCATTGTCCAAGTTCAAGCCTTCGTCGCAAAAGGCACTGTAAAAGATGTTGGTCAAGCTGAGCTCGCCAGGTTCATCTTGTTGCTCCTTGTTGTTAACAAGTGCCGGCATGGGGGTATCCAATGAAAGATTGATATTGTTGTTGTTGGGGAAGCTCTTGAGCAAGGCAGTCATGGAGGGTTGTGCTGCCATCAATGGCTTGCTGTTGTTTGCTTTGCTCTTCTTGACAACGGTTTGTTTCTTGGCTGGTTGCTTGGCCTTCTTCTTGAGTGCCTTGAGTTCTTTTCTGCGGGGCTTCTTTGCCTTGGTGGAACTCTTGTACATGTGATGGAGTTGATCACGGAGGGTTTGTCCAATCTTCTCGCGGCATGCGGCATCGCCAACTTCATACCAGTTGCCATCTTCAAACTTTTTGACAAAGCCACCATCGACAGTGTAGTCTCGCACACTGTCGACGATAGCAGAGACGAGGAGGCTCTTTTCAAGCTTGGTGGTAGCCTTGGAGTATTGTGGAACAAACTCTTTGATGGTGTTTCGGAAGCGGAGGTTTCCAGGGTGGTTGGCAGCAGCAGCCCCACGGGCGCAAATGACATCGTATGGGCCTGGAACAAAGTTGGGTGCCAGGAGTTTGCGCTCGGCAACGAATGCAGGAACAGAAGACTCTTGAGAGCTGGAAGAGGAATCATGGACCACGTTGGCCTGAGTGTTGGAAGAAAGAGTCATGGGAGCGTCATTGGCCATGTTGCCATTGGCGAAGGATTGGGCAGCCAAAGATTGGGTGAAAGCGTCGAGGGAGAGATTGAAGGTGGGGTTCATCGACATGGTGGTCATGGCCATGGGGGGAACAGAAACAGACATGGGCATTTGCATATTCATGGTGTTGATAAAGCTGTTGTTATTGTTGTGGTGTTGGGAAATGCGGTAAGGTTGGTAGTCGAAGTTTGGATTCATTTTATGAGATGGGAATGTTGATCTGTTGATCGCAAGACTTGTCTTTTGGTTTGGGATGAGGATGAGAAGATCCGAAGAAAAAATTGTGAGATGCATCAACCGTCAGCAACCGAGGGCATCTCAATCTGCGGATTCATGCCAATGCTCAAATGCGCTGACCGTCTGCGAATGAAACAAGAAAGGCCAAAGGCAAATACTGCAGATCTTCCTTGTTGTGGCAAGGCCAGCTCTTGTGAGGTGATTTGGATGGCCTCGCAATTTAGAGGGAGGTTGAATTCGTGATACCTTCTGACAATCCCTGATTTAACAAAGGTTAGTTCCACCAAGACACTCATATGTACTCTGTGCCCAATTCATCGTTCTTCCGCCTCGAAGAGCTGATCTAAACACATCCAAATCAAAAATCGGTACTGGCCAAGACCCATCGAAGCCCAATATAAACTCACAAACTCTCTCATTTCACTCAGGGTAACTCCTGTTAAACGGAAGGATTTACTGTAACTCGGACAATGGTCGCGTATTGTCACCTGATAATATAATCAGCGTATTAAATCATTACAAAAGCTTGATTAAATTACAAACAAGATGGTTGTATAATTGTATTTGAATTGGAAAGCTATTGGTACTGTATTATTACTCCAGCTTCATCAGCTTCTTTGTTTACTTAATGCCGCTTCCGTGGACAAATACTTTTCTTAAAGTGAGTAATTTCATTGGTACTTTACTCCTTCGGTTTGTGAAGTGGAAACTGTCCCCTAAAGCATTCTAAATCCTAGTGGGAGGTTATGAAGGATCTAGTCTGTGAATGAAACACTCCTTCCACACAATTGGTTTTTTAGCCCTTGTTCTCACTGGGTCCACCAGCTGTCCACCCAAGAGATGCTTTCCGGTGATCTTTGATCGACACAGTTCGATTGAGTGGCGGACCCATGGTCTTCACAGTGTCTTCACCACTTTGTGACAAAACTTGCTGACCACATCGCTCCCTTCCCCGATTGGGCTGGTTTCAAGCCCTTCATGCAATATCTGGCGGTGTACTAGCAGCCGAACAGTCCAAAAGCAATCCGACTCATCTCCCACAACAGCTCCGTAAGAAATGGTCTGCAACTACGAAATCTTAGAAACGTATTATATGGTTGCGGCACTTCAAACTATTGAAGGCGACGAAAGCTCCTCTATCTATCTACCTCTTCTACAGTACTACTCAGTAGTATTAATTAGTGATGTGCAGGGGTTTGATACGCGTATTGTATTTTTTGTATAATACGTATAATACACCCCCTCCTGAATCTTAATACATACATAAAATACGGTATTTAATGTATTGATACTGTATTGAACCGTATTTTTCGTATTTTACTGTATTTTGGTGTATTACATAGTTTGTTGGGTGTTGGTTGGCTTTGGGTAACCATACTTCCTGGTCCTAAACTTTGCAATGCAATATGTTGGAAGCTATTTGAAGCAGATGGGATGATGGTAGGTAATATGGTGTGAGAAAAGTGGTGAGAACCACTGGAGCAGGCATGAGTACTGCAAGTAGATGAGTCAACAGTAGATCATGACTCAAAGTCCAATACGTATAATACGCCGTATTAAACGTATAATACGTATAATACGTATCCAAAATCTCAATACACATATTTGCACATCACTAGTATTAATACCATGGGTGCTGAATCCGTGCTGATGTGCTGATAGCTGATAGATAAGCTGATAGATAGCAATTGAGGCTTAGCTCCAACAAGCAACTCAAGTTCCCGTGTTCCAGTGTCCCAGTGACGATTGAGCTGGAAAAGCGAGTACTAGCTACATGTAGTAGACTACTAGTAACCATGGGTGATACCTTTGGACATGCTGGTAAGTTGAGGATGCCAGGGGAGCACAAAGACGCCCACATCATCCGGAACCAACTTAACGCTATAGTTGCCAGCGTTGTTGGGCAATTGTTCTCTACACAACCAGATAACGGGAGTCAAGATTGAGTTGGGAAGATATCCGCATACAGCACACCGCACATCCATCCAAACATCTGTGACTGGCGGCAGTCTAACTTGTGGGACAGGACTACTTTGGAATTGGTGAATCGAGCACGGGAACCGTTACGCACATCGTTTCGAAGATGTTTCATCCTGGGCTCCAAGCGCATCACCCAAATTGCACCAATGTCGACAACCCAGTCGCCAACAGGCAGCCTCCCGCTCGGTTTGGCGTTATTATCCTTGGCTGATTATTGCATAAAGGAAGCAGCTAGGGAATCAATCAGCCAACCATCCAGCAAGGTTTCAGCCTCGAGTAATTGAGCGACGCTAGTACTAGCTAAGCCTAGCACTAGCTAGACCAAGTAACGATCTTACCAGTTAGTGAGCGAGCGTCCTTCAAGTGACTCTTGATTTCTTCGTCACTAGCTGAGGGTAGGATTGCCCAGATCGTCCCTTTCTTTTCCTTGCGGCTGGTCCAGCACTGGAGCGAACCCCCTGCTTCGCTTTTGTTGCCAGCGCATTCTCTTTTTCACGGCTTGTCCTCCTTCTCTGGAGCAAGCAATCGAGCTATCAATGTGAGCACTGCCAGTTCAAGGCTGATCTGTATTCCGATTACTACCGTAACACTACTAGTAGAGGAGAGAGGGGGGAGGAGAGGAGAGTCATACAGTACGATTTCACCACTTTTCTCCTTGGCATTGGTCAAGCCCACGACGTGTACATGTACGTGTACTGTACTACTCGCAGCTAGCTAGTTTCGGAAAGCGCTCTCTCTCGGGAGTTGATAATCCAGCCTGCAGCCGGCCTGCGTGTTCCATCTCCTGCCAGCCACATCGATTTGTCATAATAATCTGTCCGCCCGTTTCCTCGGTTTTCACTAAGAGCCAGTCCAGACGTAGTTCGACACACATGCAATCGAAGTCCAAAAATCGAAGAATCGAAGTTTTTTCCAGTTCAAAACCTGAAATCGTGACTGACCAGGAACCCAAATCGAACCCCCTGGGCACTAGCCAAATCCAAGTGACCAGCTCGGGAAATCCAAGTTTGGGTCCAAGTTTCTCAATCCCAAACTCTATCCCGTGTTTGAACTGGAAAAAATCGTACATCGGCGATTTTGGCATGGTTTACGTCCTCGCAATCAGTCTAGATCAACCATGTGCTAGACCAGCATGCATCATTAGGATAACACCATAGCAGATATTTAGATAGAGTTAGCCAGTCTATTTGTGTATTGTTGCTATCAGTTGAATGGGAAATCGCTCGCTTACAGTGTTAGGAGAGTCCATTGCTTTTGCTATTTTCACTCTTTCTTCCACCATCACCATGACCAATCCTTCCGCTGCTGAAGCCTCCTCTGCTAGTGATGAGGAGCATGCTAGAGACTCTTCTGTTGGAGAGCCATGGCAGGTTGATACTGTTGATGCTTCTGCTGCTGGAACTGTGCCACCCAGAGCCCCACCGGAAGCTTCAGACTCTTCCTCAGAAAAGCAGACCAACAATGATCCTTTTTTGACCGCTCGCCAACAATATGAGCAATCAGGCAATGACAAGGCCATGCTCTTCTGTTTGTGCATTGGCTTGGAGTCAGAGGATGGGGAACGCAAGCTTGGAGACTTGACTGTAGAGCCCTATTGCAAGATGCCCAAGAAGAATCAAACCAAACTCAAGGTACAGAATGCTGTTCTTGCAAAAGAGGTGGTTCGGCGTGGTAACCAAATGGAACTGACTGGGAGAAGCAAGGTGCGCCCAAGTAACTGGAAGCAAGGAAGGCTTGTCAAATGGCTCCAAGATAATCCCATCAAGGATGAAGCTTGCATCCCTTTCCTTCGCCAGACTGAGAATGCTTACTGCACTGCCACGAAGAACCACTTGCATGAGAAGGCGGTTGGCAAAGATTCAGAGACAACGGCAGACAAGGATGGCAATGAACCTTGGCGCAACAAGCTCGAGCCAAACCTTCGCATGATTTTGGCTGCCCACCATGATGATGTTCGCAAATATTTGATTGAGGAAGGGAGTGTCCTCGAACGTCAAGAGTTGGATGCCAGGAATAGCGATGATCGTCCCATGACTTTCTTTGAGGCTCTCGCTAATAAATACAACGATGACTTCTGGGTTGCCAACAGCGAAGCCATGCCTGACCTTCACCCTGATTTTACCATCGAACATGACATTTATTCCACTGACTGTCCTGGTAAAGTCACTGCGGATTTCATCAAGAAGCAATGGAATCAGGCAAAGCTCAAGACCAACAAGATAGTTAATGCCTGGGAGAGGAGTGGAAACGGCTACGGACAAGTGGATCATGAAGAAGAAGAAGAGGCTGAAGAACCGGCAAGACAGTTTGGTCATTTAACGGAGGAGCGTCTTCTCGCTGGAGATAACAGGAGTGAATATTGCATTGAGAGACTTGGTCACAGGTCCTTTCATCTCTATTTGTGGTACCTTGCAGACAAGCACGGCAATCTCAGCTGTGTTGTTACTCGGTTGAGTGATGACGTTGGGGGCACTGGTGACAAGGTGGCTACCAATACGTCCGAATCCAAAGGTAGAAAGGGCAAGGATGACCCAGAGTTGAAACAGCTACGCAAGTCCCTCAGCAACTCCCAAGTGGAACTGTCTTATCAAGCTGTCATCGAGAACCTGACCAACGCAAACAGAGAGCTTACCAAGTCCAAGATCGCGAAAGTGAAAGCTGACACCCAAGAAGAAAAGGAAATCTGGCAAGAGAGTATCGCGGAACAAGAAGACATTGTCAAGGGGCTGAAGCGTCGTAAAAGGACATATGAAGTGAAGAAAGCAAAGAAGAAGACGTCCGCTGAACCTGATGGGAGTACCGAGACAGACTAGGTAAGAAGAAGAACGTCCAGCTGCCAGCAACAACCTCAACTAACACATTATGTCTGTTATTAATCCATTCGCGCCCATCCTTCAGGTCTTGGTCTCTGTACACTCCAATCGTCCACTATCTGGAGAATCTTCTCCCGTGGCAACATCTCTGTTTGTCTTCTATATTCACGTTCTTCTTGTCTTCTATGATTTCGGTCGACATCATCAAAGTGTTCCCCTCCATGTAACAACTGCTCTGGAGAGCTATCATTCAACCATGTCCTCACCAACGGTATCCCTCCTCTGGATTCAATCTCAAAAGTGTCCTGTGCCAATGATTCGGGCACTCCATCTTCACCAAGTCGGCGGTTAATGCAATAGTTGTGAAGTCTGCACAGCGCGATTGTCAAGGACGTGACCTTCTTCAAGCCCATTGAAGCTGACAGTGGCCTTCTCAAGATTCCCCATCTATTGACGAGGATCCCAAAGGTACATTCAATCTTGATGCGCAGCTGGGAGTGGTAAAAATTGTATGCGTCTTTTGGTCCTGATCCAACATTCCTGTAAGGCGTTGCCATATAGGGAGTGTTGACATATGCATTGTCGCCAAACAAACACAAGTCCTTATGCAATAAGCCATTCTCCAATTGGTGGTGAAAGGTGCTGGTAGAGAAGGAAAGATAGTCAGATGTCGCGGCTGGATGGTTGATGGCAACAGAGGTAAATCTCTTTTCGTGATCACAGAAACCTTGTAAGTTCAACCCAAACTTGTGCTTTCTGCCACAGAGGAACCTCTTTGGCGCAACGTTGGCAATGTCACAGTCTAACTGGTGAGGCTTCTCTGTCCATAACAACATCCCATCTCCAGCGCCAACACAACAGTCTATTCCGATCTCGCTGGATTTCTTAAATCCCTGGGCAATGGCAAACTGTTGTGAGTGTTCTTTTGGGAAGACAATGGCGAGTTGAGGATGATCTTTTGTCTTATTCACTGCGTCCACTACCATCCAGATTGACTCATACACAGAGGAGTGACTTATGCCGTGAAGAACAGCAATGTCATATGCAGCGCCACCAGCAAAGTATCGAAGGGCAACACTCAAGCGAATGGAACTGGAAATGAGACCATTTACAGCACCATTCTTTCTCTTCCTGTTAGACCGAGTAAGGTGTACCTTTCCACGGAGATGCCGCTTCAGTAAGTCATGCAAGTGCCAAAAATCTTCTGCATTCATTCGAAAGGCACGTCTAACATAAATCTCTCCCATTTCCTTGAAGATCAAATGAACTTGCTTCCTTGTCCGCTTGATTGGAGGAGTGTCATGCCTACCTCCTACGTGGGTACCAAACAGGCAAGCATCGATTTCGAGGAGAACAGCGGTGAATCCAAGCAATCGCTTGAGACGTTTACGAGAGCCACCACCATTGTTACTACCAGTGGTGGCCACAACTGCTTTGAACAGCAACAGGAGAAGAAGAAGACTGTGGAGGTACATGTCATTGAATTGTGCTAGTTTACGTATACAAACTACAAGTGTGAGGGAAGGTAAGCGTATCATGTGTTGTGCGACTTGATGCCAATGCTGAGCCAATTTCAACAGCTAACTTGGATTTCGAAACTTGGATTTGTTCTTTCGTAGTGTGGATTAGGTAGCGAACTTGTACTAGAATTCCAAGTTTATATGAAAACTTCGATCTTTGATTTTGGATACTTGGATACGACGTCTGGACTGGCTCTAAGAGTACAATACTAACAGGAAATAAAGTCACTAGATTTACCTAGTTAAATTTTGAAGAGCGTTATGGCAAGATAGGAGTTTTAATTCTACTGCCGGAAAGCTTCTCCTTCGTGGATTATAAAGGACTACTTAACTGTCACAGTCCGAATCATGGAAAGAGATTGAAAACTTCCTTCACCGGATTTATGTACTCTACAAAATACTGTACGAAAGCCGTTTCAAATTATGAAGAAATGTGGTACTCCAGAGTAGCCGTTGAAATTTGTACACAGTCGTGTTTCAGTGGTAAAATGGGCACTGCACCAACACCAACAACAAAGCAACAACAACAAATCAAATAAATGCCGACCATGGTGCTCCGGTGTCTCCTCGGAAACGGATTGGACAGATTACATACAAATGACGTCCCTGCCTCTTGTCGGTCTCGAATGTCGGCTGCGATCTTGTCGCTCTTCCAGGCCTTTCGGCCTTCCTTCTTTCGCGCCTCAATCTGGCCTCCATCCTCGCCCTTGCGACCACGGTCAGCCGTGCACCCTCGGCTTTGCCTCGGATTTGCACGACTGACCTCGTCTTCAATCAGCCGGAACGTTTTTCTACATATTCGACTGTTTTCAACTGTTTCGACTCGACTCTGCTCGATGTGACAGGCCGGAATATCAGCTGCAAAAACCTTGAGCAATTGCAATAATAAGGTCTACCAGTAATCGATTCGATTCATAATTGAGCCAAACAAGGTAGCTGAGGATTACTTGTATGAGTCTGATCTGGTGATTGCCAGTGCCACGTTAATAGTGTGAAACGGGTTCTAGCCCTTTTGTGGCCATTTGACGGATCAAGACCGTACTACTCATGAAATATCATCGAAACCTGCCAGCTCTAGCTAGTCCTCGATAAAGCAAAAGGTGGCTGAAGTAAGTAAGTTTATGGAGATCCCACGAGTAACTTTCTGAGACGAACACAAATATCAGGCTCCCAAACCAGTAAACTCCCCCGGTGACGATTGAACGATCTTTACCGGTTATAAGAAGGCTGAGCAGACTGAAATTAAACAAGGATACGATCTGTCTTTCACATACTTGTGTCTTTGTGTTGTATCAGGACAAAACCGAGCCACTTTCACAAAACAGCTGTGTCTCCGCAGATCCAGCAAAGGGTGTTGGCCCTCAATACATTATCTTCCTGAAACCTAAGTCACCCTGCTGGCTTTTAGAGGTGGCCCTCCCCGTTCTTTGCTAACCCCCCCCCCATTTGTTAAAAAAGGCGGCATCTGGTACTGGACCGTCGTACGGTTTAAACTCAGGATTTAAAAAAAAGCTTGAAATTGCCACGACTGAGGACCGTTTAAAACATCCCCTTAAACATCCCCTTAGCAACCCCCTAAATCTTCAACATCCCCTTAAACAACCCCTTAAAAAACAACCCCTTAACAACATCCCCTTATATCCTCGAAACAACCCCTTAAGCCTTCATTGAAATGCCATACAACATCCCCTTATCACACACAAACATCCCCTTAAATAAACAACCCCTTAACAACAACCCCTCAAATACTCAACATCCCCTTAAACATCCCCTTAAATCTTAACATCCCCTTATCGAGAACCAGGACATTAGTCAGTTGTGGCCGTTTTTAAAGCCTGAGCGAAGACCGTCGAATGGTCCTGAAGCACTACCTTTCCTGTTGGTTGGAAGCAAAAATACCCCCTCGCACACGCAAATAAAAGATTTAGGTGGCGATTGACGTAACTGCCATCAGTCACAACAAGTTTTGACCTTACATAAACGGTATTAATCTTTAAATCTATTGTTCGTACCAAGACTTGACTGTTGGGGATTCGCGATTAGGGATTCAACCTGTACCTCTGTACTAGAATTTGATGCCAGTAGCAAAACTGGTAACCCACCCACTTTTTCAGTAGTATCTCAATAGCAAGTAAACTAGAAGAGACCTTAGAGCAACTAACATACTACTGAAAAAGCGGTCTACTATCGACGTCGAAGCGAAGAAGCGAAATAGCGAAGAGGAGCCTATCGAAGCAGTCAATCGGTAGCAGGAAGAGGAGCGAGTATCGGCCGATCGCCGATCGCGACGACGCAACGAGAGCAAGATCGGACGACCGAGGATCGTCGTGCCGATAGGAGACTGCAGTCGACGACGACACAGTCAGGAGAGCCGACAGCATCCAGCCGGAACTGTCAGAGCCAACAACAAGCGCGAAAGCCATAGTGCCAGCGCAGGGGCCAAAGGAAAGGCACCCAACAAGGAATCAACAATACAAAGAAACGGGTTCGGAGTGGAAACGACCGCACAGTGTGTGAAGCAATCGTTCCCTCCCTGCAAGATCTTTAGTAAATAGATTTAACACTCCCTAGCCAGGAGTATAATTTGAAGTTTATCGCCCCATAGCCATAAGACGAATAAGTAGTCGGACGAGAACTTAAATTAAAAGAGCTAGTCAATCAAAAAACAACGAATTGAAATAGTCCACCTACCGTAGCATAGACAATGAGCGGTAGAGGTAAAGGACGAGGTGGCCGAGGAGGCGGCAAAGCACGAGGGCATGGAAGAACCAACCCATCGTCGAACCAGCAGAAAGGTTCATGCAAAGCCCTCGACCAACATGTGTTTAACTTCGGTACAACTGGATCTGGAACGGCAGACCAGATGATACGCACATGGGAGAAGATCGTCCTCCACGTTGGACAAACGATGGGTGACGACATGAGCAATGAGCTACGCAACCTGAAACAGACAGTGTTGGTAGCACCGGTGTACTCAGAGGAGACCCGGAACAGGCTTGACGCAGCCGCGGAACGACGTGAACAGAACAACCTTCGTCTCCAAACGGCAACCCAAGAAAGCCTACGGCTACTAGAATCAGAGATAACCGCAGTCACCAATGACCCGACTCTCGGTAGCCTACGCACACTAACGATAGAAAAAGCAAAACTCGTTAATGAAATAGCCGACCTTACGGCAGCCATAGCCGACCCACCGGAAGAGGAACTCCGGGGACTCGAGAAAGCAGAGTATGGAGGGCTAATGAAGACCCACCTTACGAGGTTGGCAAAACTACAAGAAAATAGAGGCAAAGCCTTCAACTTGATCCTAGGGCAGTGCACCCGACTATTAAAGGACAAGATGAAGCAGAACACGGACTTCGATGACGTCCTGTTAAGATGCGACCCACTGGAGCTACGAAAAATGATCCACAAGACGATCATGGCCCAGACCGATGATAATTTTGTGTACCACACATTATTCCAACTGGAAAAACAACTGTTGAATTTCCACCAAGGGAGCCTTACCGCTTCCGAATACCACGAGCAATTTACCACGAAACGGGACATTGCAAAATCCGTGGGTATTTCCAAGCTACACGACGCAGCGCTGCTGCATACGGCCAACCTACTCCACCCAGACACAGAATACGCTGACCTGGGAGTCGAAGACCAGAAGACAGTCTCGGCATACGCAGAGGAACGGTACTATAGTTATATCTTCTTAACAAATAGTTCAGCCGAAAATACCAAGCTTAAACAGAACCTGAGGGACGACTTTGCCAAAGGCACTGATAACTATCCCCACACGTTACATGAGGTATTACACCTTTTGGACAAACACACCAAGAGTAACACCCCACGACAGTCCACTTCCCACGGAAGCTCCTTTGCTCAGACAGCACAAGGCGGGAGAGGACGGGGTGGTGGCAGAGGAAAAGGCCGCGGAAACGCGAGCTATGATAAAGAATACTGGAAAGAGAAAGAATGCTTTTCCTGCCACGATAAAGGACATCCAGCCTCGCACTGTCCTGACAAAGATAAAGACAAAGATAAAGACAAAGATAAAGACAAAGACGACGATGACAAGTCTAGGTCGAGCAAGCGTAGCAAGTCAAGCACGTCGAGCAAGAAAAGCTCTAGTAGCGTTCAAAGGAGAACCCTAGCTACTATCAGCAAACTGCAAGATAAAATGACGACAGCATTGACAACCCTGGAGGAAGAACAGGATGATGCCGACTCTGACATCACGCAGTCAGATGAAGAGAAAGTCGAAAAAGGTTTCGTTACGTTCGACGTACCGCTATTCGCGGACGGAACGAAGACGGAAACGAAGAAACCGACTCAACAAGGCATAGTCGCCCACACAAAAGGATTGGACGACATAGATATGAGAGAGATCCAGCTACTGGACAACCAGTCCACGTTGGATCTATTCTGTAATAAAGACATGGTTACCGACATCAGGAAAGCCGATCGTCCAATTACAGTGAAGAGTACCGGAGGCAAGCTGAAGGTCCAGCACAC